TGGGCCCTCCCCTCCTTCCCCCACTCCTCCCCTCTTTTCAAAATATATGCTAAAATTTTCTTCGTATGGAAACGTATTACGCCATTTTAGATGTATTAATTTCAGAAATGACTAAAAGGCGTAAAGCTTACAGTGATTTGTACGATAATTTCGGTTTTCTTGTTCACAAAAATTTGTCAGAATCTGAGATTAAAGTAAAAGCGCAAAATTTGGTAAAAATTTACTCATCCGATTTAGAGGAAAAATTTGTAAATGAATTTTTACTATTTTCAAATTTGTATGAACATAAATCTTTACAATAAATGTTGAAGGCTCAACTTAAAGATAAACTTGTGAATACTTTTCCTAACGTTCGCATTGCATTAAGAATATGTTTGTCGATTCTTGGATCAAATGCAGAAGGAGAAAGATCTTTCTCCAGATTAAAATTGATAAAAAATTATTTGCGTTCAACAATGAATCAAGATCGTTTGGCATCGCTCGCACTTATGTCTATTGAATACGACATTTTGCGTAGTTTGGAATTCGACAGCATAATACAAGATTTCGTTGAATCCAAAAATCGCAAAAAAGTAATATATTAGATCATAAGATTCTGCAAAATAATTTATTACCGAAAAATATTATATTTTTATTTGTATCTTCATAATTTTGTGCAAAATACACTTGTTGTTTTTAAAGTTAAATTATTTTTGTCAATAAATTTTTTTTCCCCCAAGTTTTTCGTAGGCCCCTGAATTTCGTAGGCACGTGCCTAGTGTGCCTATAGGTTAATCCGGCCCTGGTCGGAACCCATTAATAATCATGATTTAACTTAGAAAATGGAGCGTTCTCTTATGATATTATTAACAATTCGTTTGAAGAAATTTGATTGTGAAAAAAAAAAGGCTGGGTTGTTAATTTAAATATCCAACGTGTGTAATTGGAAACACTCGAAGAGCACTCCATTAAGCTACAGTGATACACTAAGAATATTAATTTGCGGAACTTTACCTTTTAGCTGGTCCGTTAAATTATACGGTAAATGGAAACTAAATTATTATTATTTTTTTTGATTGTGTAGTTGGGAAGATACTTACCAAGAGAAAAAAAAAGGCTTCGAATTATTTTGAAAATGTTTCATGTGTTGAATGAAATATTTAATATTAAGAATTATTTTCTTGGTGTATGTATGTGGTTAAAATTAATAAAATAAGATAAATAATGATTTTAAAAAAGAGCCTTTAAAAATTATGACAATAGTTATCAGAAAAACATAATTCTTTATTCTTGAATTTAGTTATTTTATTTAGAATTTAAAGGCTTGATGAAAAATACATATGAAATTTTTGTAAGTGCACATCCTTTTCATAATTTATTCAGCATATTGTTATTGAAATATATATATTAAATTCTACTACTTTTTTTCATTCGTATTTAAACTAAAGAAGTTCATATAAATAACCTAAATATCAAATAAATTTTTGATTGGATATAAATATTGTTATTACTGGTTAAAAATATCACATCTCTCGGAACCTCTGTCCGTCTTTTGGGGAACACTGGCGGAACACCTTTTGGGAAGCGTTGATCTAGATATATGTGATATTGAATCCTCTGGGCCTTGTACCTGATTTTAAAAAGAAAGGAGGTAATTGCGAAAATATAAAACAAAGAATAATTAAAGCAAGAATAAGTTTTAATTGGCAACATAAATTTTGAAAGGGACCAAATTAAATAAATACAAAAATAGTAGTTTACAAAGCTATTATCTAAGCAGTGATACTATATAATGCTGAAACATGGAAACAGAGCGAAGTTTAAAAACAACAAAAATTAGAAATCCTTCAACACAAATGCTGAAGATTTTTTTTTAAAACTTCCTGGACTTGAGTGGTAGTAGGGCTTTATTTGCGACGCATTAGAGTTGCACAAAGGGTTATTGGCGACGATCTAGGAAACATATCCGAGGACATGCCATCTCATTTCTGATCCTCCGTAGATCGGATTGTTACCTACAGTTTTACGAGGACCGATACCGCGCACCCTCGGTCTCTTCGCAGGCTGATCAAAGTGGTCACCCATCCGCTAACTGACCGTTGCCAGTGACGCTTAATTTTAAAGATCTATGGGGAACCGAGTCTTCACAGTGAAATGAAAATGTTTTGGAAAAAAAAATGCTTAAATTAAAGCATTGAGGAAAAGGTATCAAAACTGAGATGAAGCTGACTTGATCGTGTTCACAGAACTTTCAAAGAAAAATTCGCATCTGGTTTGCTTACAGAGACAGGGCTCCAGATGAAAAAGAAGCAAGAGAGAACTTTAGATTTATCTTAAATATAATACTATTATAATTTATTGTGATGAGTTGTATAATTACAAATAAGTTTATGAATGATGTTTCTCTCTTAGTGATTTCCTTAACAGTCTCCTTTTTATCTATTTATTTATTTTTTAACATTAAAATTTACGAATATATACCCGGTTTTTCTCTAATTTGCATAATTATTTTCGAATATCTGAAAAATTTGTAAAATAGAATTTTAATTTGTTTATCTACATAAAAGTAACACAGTATTAAAAACTTTCGCAAAATGATTATTTTGTATATACTCCAAATTTAAACTAAAATTTAAAAAAAAAAAAAATAATAATAATAATTACGTTTTACGCACAAATCAAATTATTCTGCAAAAAAAATTGTATATTGATTTGAGTAGCACTCTCTGTAATGAGAATATATGATTTGTGAAAATGGAATTTTAATTTGTTTATCTGCATATAAGTAATATAGTATTAAAAAAAAGTTTATTAAAATGATTTTTTTATATTTATACTCCAAATTTTAATTGCAATTAGAAAAAACATTCATACACTGAACAAATCAAATTATGCTACAAAAAAAACACCACATTTAGCAATTTAATTTGAGTAGTATGTTATTAGAATGGAAACTAAATAAAAATAACCTTAAATATTTTTTGAAAGAATAAGATGATTGAGAAAACGAAACTAGAAATCAAAGATGCCTTGAAACTGAATAAATTCGAGAAGTTGAAGCTAGTGGTCTGCCAGAAAAAATGTTTTCAGTTTTTAAAATATATGTTCAATTCTATATTATAAATCAACACTTTTTAAACGGGAAAAACTGAAGTTTCAGTTTCAATTTGTAAAATGCACTCTTGTGCATTTTCCCATATTTATCTCCTTTAAAAGTTCCCAATCTTTTCCTTATTTTCTTGTCAGGGTCGACTTTTCATGAAATTTGTATTTTTCTAATGAAATTATAAATTATCAATTGAATTTGAGGTGATTTTCGTAAAATTAGTCTATTTACGTGACTTGGTTTGACGGAAGAAGAAGAAGAGTACGATGACAATATACCATGACGCATGACGCACGTGGGGACATACGTGACCGCGTGGCTCTTGTTGTGGTAGACGCCATTATTCACATCCTGTGTATGGGCTATATTGATATGGAATTGTTACTTTCAAAATTACAGTTTGTAAAAAATTTATAGACACTCAGATCGCATTTAAAATTAAATACAATCATGAGCGAAGATGAAAAAGCTGAGGATTACGAGTTTGATGTACGTGATTCATAAAATTAAGGCAGTTTTAAGATATAACGACAATCGTTCAATTTTTATAAATTTAAATATCTTCAGATTTAAAAATTTATTATTTTATTTTTATGTTGACTTAACAGCTTTTAGTTTATATTGTAGTTTGATTCTTTTTTACTTTAACCTAATTTTTTTTCCTTAAATGCACTAAAGAAAATGGTTTGTTTACATTTTGATAGATATAATATGATTTTATTGTTTTCATTCATTTTTTTTTTATTTATTGGTAGGTTGACAAAAGAGCTCATCACAATGCACTGGAAAGAAAACGCCGTGATCATATTAAAGATAGTTTCAGCAGTTTGAGAGAAGCTTTACCATCATTCCAAAACGACAAAGTGCGGGTAAAATAGTTTGGAATTATTAATTGTTTTTCTAGCTACGTTAAGTAAGATCGTAGATTTTTCGCGCAATCTAAATTTAAAATTTCAGTAGCTTAATAATAACTTCCAAGTAATTTGATTCTAAACCTTGACCTGATATTTCAATGTCGCAATGCTCTGGATTCTGCCCAGGTACGCGGGCATTCTAAAATAGGAATTTTTTTGAACATCTTTGTTAATAGTTTGCTGTTATAATATAATGTTATACACCGTGTTTGACAAATCTCGATACGGAAATATTCTCTCGTGTTTAAAATTAAACTGGTTTCTAAGTGTTGGAATAACACTAAAAAAATTCTAACTTCAATTTGGATATTTTTATAATTGAAATTATATACATATAATTTTGCGTTTTATTCTTAAGTAGTTGTATCTTAAAATTCAAAATCTATCTGATAAATTGAAATTTTTTAACTAGGAAAAAATAGTTTTTAAAATAGAAATATGGTTTATTTACATTAAAGAAGAAGAAAAAAATACCTAAACTTAATATTTTGAATTTGTTATTTTTTTGCTCATTATGATTAATTAAAAATCCAAATTTAAAATATATTGATGCAAATTAATTAGCTAACTTACTAGTACTCAACATTTTTTGGTTTTGTTTATCCAATCTTGATTAAAATCATGTTTTTTCTAGTTTACTTTTTTAATATTTTTTACGAAATGAAATTTTAAAAAATCACCATATTTTTTCTGTTAAGAAAACTCTTTCAAAAAAAAATTCTGCTTCATGTCAAAATTGTAACAACTCTTTATNCATTTGAAAAAAAAAAAAAAAAAAATTCTGCCGCATGTCAAAATTGTAACAACTTTTTATTTATGCACTATTTATTTCTATCATTATAATTAATTTTAAGTAATATGAAAATATGTTAAATATATTAGTGTATGTTTTTTATTTCTAATGGCAGATTATGAACAGTTAACAGCAGAAAGCAATAAAAAGCAAGAACACAGAGTACAACAAAGAATGCTAAAACAGAGTTCATTAAAAAATATGTGTATAAAAATGTATATTTTATGTGTAATATGTATGGAAGAAAAACAATTAAAAAATATTTTTATGTATATAAAATATTATATGTATAAAAATATATTTAAATTTTTTTTTTCAGACGACATGAACTATTAACAATCCAAATTTATTATAAATTAATTCAAAGTCTTTATTTAATTATAATAAGTATTCATCACTTTTCTCAATTGTTTTTTTTTATTAAAAAAAATATTTGTTGAATTCGTATTAATTTAATCTGCTAATGTTATTTGGGTACTTTTTCTATTTTGTCGGCAAAGGTGATGAAGTCCTAAATGCAGAGTGCAACTATATTTACCCGTTTTTTTTATTTTTAAAGTAAATAAAATAGCCGAAATTGCTTGTACGGCGAAATGGAAAAGTACCGTTATTAGATAGGGCTGTTTTCAGATTATTTTAATTATTTAGCTGAAAACTACAATTTTAATTGAATTTTTTCTGAACTTGTAAGTCAGGTTTACTGGTTAATCATTATACAACTTTATTCATCATTAACCTTAAAAATTATCAAAAATGAAGAAAGGATTTTTAAATTAAAGGCAGGGATAAAAATTAAGAAAAGTTTAGTTACTGATCTTTGGACCACTGAATGAAGGATTACTGTTTGCACATGTGTCCAAACTGTGCATTTTCATTAGTTCACTTGTCTCTATTAGATTTTTGTGAGAAAAAAAAGGTTAATAAAATGAATTTAATTTATAAATTCATTTTAATATAAATTACATTACAGAGACTATTTAATATGTACAATTATAGTGAATTAGGTTATTTTGTGCCAATAGCCAAAAATAAGAAACTGGAAAATAAAAAACCAAAACTTAGTCTTTTTTCTCTTCCTGATATTCCTGCATTTTTATTTATTTATTTATATATATATATTTCTTACAAAGCATTATGACTCCTATATAATATAATGAAGGCTCGATATAACTAGTATATGACATAATTAGAGAAATCCAGAATTATGAGGAGTTTCTAAGTCTAAAAATGCTAATAAATAAATGCGCAAACATTTTAGGTTGGGAACGAGTTATTGTGCCAGATTTGTTTTTTAGGGAAATAAATTTTTCTGCTGTTTAAGTAAGCAATATTACTCACAGTAGAAATAAATAAAAATCATTTTTATTTATTTCTGATAAAACTGAAAAATTAAGATTTAATTTTGTCTTTCTCATAATCTTAAATCCTAATGTTTATGAAGCACACATGTGTTGGCACTTCTAAGTTATTTTCCTTCCTTAAAGAAAAATTCTGCGGTTTTGAAAATTAAGCTACACACTTCGAAATAATGCACCTTTTGTTGCTGCCTATATCATCTCATCATGACAGCTCACTATTGAATTTAATATTGAGGTTAACAGCTATTGCACTTTAATTTTTTCTTTGCATCTTGTAAAAATTTATATTTTAGTTGCTAGATTGCTTGAATTTTAGTGAAGTTTAGTGTGTGGGAGAGAATATTGTACTTGGAGGGACCTTCACATTTTAGCACCAAATATGTGTATTTGCGTATACAAACCCTCTACAATGATAATATTATTTGTGAATATAATGGACTCTTATTTATTGTAGTTTGTTATTGAACAAAATTACAATAATAATTTTAAAAGTCAATTTATATTCAGATATTTTTGTCGGTTGGTTTTTTTTTATTACCTAATTTTGTATTGTACTTGTAGCTATTATTTTAGCTCATAAAATAATGAAATCATGTTTAAATAAGTATGTTTTTTGACTAAATATATAAAATAATCGATGGTTGGATACATTATATTTTTTCCTATGATCAGTTTTTATTTCTTCTATCGATAGTTCTGATTTTCCTGATTAGAAAAAAAAAAATTTTGTCCTGATTTTTACCTTATTGTCCTGTTATTCCTAATTTTGTGTGTGTTCAGAATGTCTCATTTTAATACCATTTATGTCTTTTTTTTAAAAAAAAAATTTTGAAAATTGAAAATTCAAAGCTTTAGATCCAAAATCTTTTTATATTAACTAAAAATGGTAGTAGAAATCACAAAATTCAATAGTTTCAATTTAGTAGGGACCATCAACTAATAATATGGATACTCCCCCCAGGTTACGTGCTTTTTTTTAGAGAATTCAATCGTTCTATTAAAAAGAATGATAAATTTTTTTATTATCAAATTTTTTATGGTAGTGAATTCAAGAGTTATTTGTTCCCTTTAGCATTTTTTAGCAAATGCGGTAATATATCTTGTAGTATGAAGTTTCATAGTTTCACGATTATAGAATCATTTGATTTTAAAAATAATAGATTTCAATTAACAATACTGTACTCAAGTCATAGAATTTTTATATAATAAATTAAGAGATTATTGACTAAAATTATTTCTGTACTAAAATATTAAATGGAGATTTATTGCGTTTTCATTTCTATGGTAGTGAACCCTTACTTTAAAACTGTTTAATTAAGGAACAGTTGAATTTGATTGCTAATTTTAATTTCACGAAGAAATATTAAATTATAATGAAATATTAATGGCAATAGTATAAGGAAATATTAAATAATTGATACTAGATTGTTTTTAATATAACAAAGAAATATTAAATGATAAGCAAATATTAATGACAATAGTATTAGCAAATATTAAATAATTGATACTAGATTGCTTTTAATATTTATGTTCTGATGAATAAATTTACCCAATTTTTGGAATTTTGAAGAAAAATTTAATCAATTAAGTACACATGCAAGGTGAAATATATTTTTTTTCAAATTTAATTTTAATAATTGAATGGCAAAATAAAATTTATCAGTATTTTAAGTACTCTCAGTAGAGTTTTTAAAGTTCCAATTGCTCTTTTTTTTAAAAAATATATATAAAGTTAATTATTGTAATTATATTATAAAGTTAATTATTATACCTCCAAAAGTCTGCTTGCTTGAGCGTTCTGGTTATTCGGGATTTTTTTCGGCATTTGTGTGCAGTTGCAAGTTACAATTAGTGTTATGGTATACAATGATTTAATATAGTGTATTAGTTTATATAAATGATATTATTAATAAATGTATGTTTTGAAATATTGAAATCTAACACATTTATTAGTTCACTAAGATTTTATGATAAAAAAATATGCCTTATATTCTTTTAAAAAAAAAAAATTTACAATTAAAATTTTGGAGATAGCTAACATCGTATCACTTGTCCAGTGTTTAGTTACTTGTTCTTAGATGTGTGTATATATATTTATATATACTTTGTTCACATATTATCCGATAATTCCTATTATTAGCTATAATATAGAAATATTATGCATTCCACTCTACTCAGTTTATAAGTTTCAGTTTTTGTGTGATTATTCTTTTTTTGCTATCTTCTATAACTGTTATTTTATACAATAAAGTGAAGAATTTTCGCTTGCGATAATCGCTCATATTTTGATTATTCATTTACTAAAGTTCTTATTCAGACATCTACTCTTCCAATGTCTAGAACTTGAAGAAGAAAAAGTGAAATCTCTCAACAACTAGTCGCCGCATGTCCACATTATTTCTTTCTTGCAAGTGTTGGCAATTTTTATGAACTGCTTAAATTAAAATCTAACTGATGCATCAAGAAATACTGCCCATAGTGTATGTAAGAACAAGATTCCGCAGTCCACACATGAAAGATGCACCTTATCCATAATTACGGAATTAAACTGTTCAAAGATTTCTGTATGAATTCTTAAAAATTTTAATAGACAAAGACTCCTGTGATTCTTGCTGACCACCTTGGAAAATGCAGCTGAACTGTCAGATCTATGATTGATTATTGTATGGATGTTTTGAAATTGCTAACAACTATGATGTGATGATTTATGTACAAAAATAGTCTTAGTAATTATCAGTTAAAATTATTGTAGACAAGAGATACACATTGATAATGCAAAATTTATGTTAGCCTTTGTTCAAAAATATTTGTTTTGAAGTTTTCCTTTGTGCTAGTTCTATGGAAGACGTTTGGTATCATAAACATATGGTCATTATTCGGGGGTTGCCGTTGTTAAAGGCAGTCATTAACTGAGATTTTACTGTATAAATTTTGCGTCATGCAGCTAGAAATTCTTGGTTGTCAATTCTTCAGATTCTCACTCTTTTGATGTAGATTTTATAAATTTGTTATGAAATAGTTTATATAAAAAAAATGCATCATTAAATAATATATTAATTTGTGTAGAAATTTATAAAAAGTACATGATATCATTATTTTATAAATATTATTAAAGTAGCAAAACTGTTAAAGTTTTTCATATTGAATGACAAACTTTAATAGTTAATACATATAATTAGGCATATAGCTGCTACAAAACAAATTTATAAATTTTTTGAATATTTCAAAACCAGGAAAATTTTTAGATTAAATTTAAAGGAGTTGGAAGTAGTTTTTAAATTTCTAATATATAAAATTCATTATAGCTTCAAATCTTTTAAGCAAACTGAATTCCAATTCTAAGTGGCTTGCACAGAGTTTTGCTGGAGGTCTTCCGCATAGGAAAAATGTAATTTAAGAGTAAAATATTAATGTAGAATATTACTTAGTTTTTGGAAATTTTGTCAATCTTTACATGATCAGTAGCATCATTTTCGGATACTGAACGTAATTGTGTTTTGTATTAATTTTCTTTATATTTTACCCTTGTTTAAATTTCTTTACAAAATCCACTTTCCTTTATTCAACACAAGCCAAGTTTATAACATTCCAGAGTTTGTATTTTTATTAGATGCTTCTTTTACTCATTTGACCTATATTTTTTTTCAGGCTTCAAGAGCACAAATTTTAAAGAAAGCTGCTGATTATATACAAAATATGCGAAGAAAAAATATATCCCACCAAAATGATATTGATGATTTAAAAAGGCAAAATAAAAACCTGGAAGATCAAAGTAAATATTCATGATTATTAATAGTAAATTCCATTGCTGAGTTTTGTTGATATTGAGTAACATTGTTTGGGGTACACTCTAAAATTGTGACCCAAACAAAATTAAATATAAAAAGTGTAACTAAAAAAAAATTTATGAGATTATTTTTATTGTACCTTTTAATTTAATTTAAATGGTACAGTTTTCTTATTAAACAGTTCCGATAAATTACCTTTCTACTGAAAAACACTGCATAACATTAATCTTAAAAAAAGTATCTTGTTTGATGTTTTGTATTGTAAATAAATGTTAGTAGAATGGCTAATATGATAACTAGATTTTAACTTTTGTTATTACTTTATTTGTTGAATCCGGGCAAGGATTAGTTATGCTACAATATTTTTGAAAATCTATGCTTCTAATATCCATGCTATTTTCTTTCTTTTAAATTGCGTTAAATTTTAAATTAGAAGCAAGTTTCAAAAATTAGCATGCCAATATTGGGTACTTTACATACTAACGCCACCGCAGCAGAAGTTGCGCTAATCCTCCAATTAAGAGCAATCCTGTTGTTCGTACGCAGTTATCTTTTGGGTTCCTTGTTGTTTGCTGATTTTTGACGCAATTTTTTAGTGCTATGAAAATGCGTCTTTGGGATTTGCCAAAAACAGAGCAAGATGCAATTTTATTTTTTCAGGAGCGAAATATTTTTCCACAAAAACGAAAAGGTACCAATTCCAATGACATGAAACTTTATTTTTGTAAACGTATGTTATGGAAATGTAATTTAAGACAGTGTGATCAGTCAGTGGGACTTAGAAAAGACAACTGGTTTGAGGGAAACAGAATTCTATTTTGTTCAGCTTTGAGATTCATATACTGCTGGTGCGAGGAGTTGACGTCGATTAAATTTTTTGAAAAGCAAATTGATTTATCGGATAAAACTGCTATAGATTGGGCCAATTACACGCGAGAATTATGTGTCTTGGAGAATAAACTGAACAAGAAGGTAGGTGGACCAGATTGCATTGGGGAAATTGATGAAAGTTTGTTTACTAAACGTAAAAATAAATGTGGTCGAGTATTGCACGAACAATTGGTGTTTGGTGGTATATGTAGAGAAACAAAAGATTCGTTTGTTGTCCTAATAGAACTGGCACTACCCTTCTTGATAAAATTATTGAAAACGTAGCAGATGGTAGCACAATTTATTCTGATAGTTGGAAAGGTTACCAAACAAAGAGAATAAAAGGATTCCTACAATACAATTTTATTGGTCCTGATACAGGAGTTCATACACAAACAGTTGAGAAAATTTGGGGCAAAGCTAAATGGAGGAACAAGAGACATAGGGGGACAGCGAGGCATCATTTGGAATCTTATTTATCAGAGTTCATATCGCGACAGCATCAGGTGAAAGAAAATCGAGACTGTTTTGAATCTAAGTTAAACTCTATATTGGCCCATTTTCCACCGAAATCCAATTGACTACTTTGATTTTAAATAAAGTGTTTTGATTTTAAATAAAATGTTTTATTTTATGATTTGTCGCAAAAGTTTTAGATGTAGATTGGCGACACTTAAAAACCGCCAAATATGTAGCTGCGGTGACGTTAATATATAAGTACCCAATATTGTGTCATGTTAAAGAATTGAAATTGAATTTTTTGAAAATTGTATTATTGTAAAAGCCCTTTTTGGGAGATTTGTATTTAACTGATGAAGGGTCTTTAATTTGACTTTCATGTCATTCTTGATTGATCCCTAATGACTAGGGTATTTTATTTAAATAATAAGCTAATAAATTTAAACAATCGAATATTTAACAGTAACGAGAACAATAGAATCTAGAAAGAGAAGAAAAAAATTTCTATCTTTATCTGTAGCTTATTTTTTTCTTCAAAAGTGCATATTGAAAATTTTGTTGCTTGTAGATTCATTTTATTATGCATCATTTAGCAATGTTTTCATTTTTCAACCTGTGTCAGTTTTGATAATTTATTTCTACTAGTCCTGAAGTTTTTAATCTTAGAATTTATTACTGTAGTAATAATGTTTTTTTCTTTTGTATTTTAAAGTACGAATGTTGGAGAAGGCCAAAGCAACTGGTAATTATTCTAATGTCAATATCTTAGAAGTGCCCATTATTAATAGTACTAAAGCATCATTGTCCTCATATGAAGCAGACTCAGATTCGGAAGCAAGCTCAGATACCACAGAATCCACTGACGGTCACCGCAAAAGGCTCAAGACTGCTTGATGATGACTAAACTAATCTTTCCCAGTAAAAGAATTATGTGAAGGTATTTTCAAATTCTAAAGGAGAAAAAAAGAAGAGGAAAAAAAAACGTCCGTGTGTTTAGTCACTAAAGTGTGTTCTGTAATGAAATGTTCGGGTCTCTTTAAAGGATCTCATGTTATGTGATAGTAGTGTTCTTTTATTTTTTTCAATCCACAAAGATAAGTTTAATAGAAAGAAGACTTTTCAAGAAATGTATTAATGTATAGACTAGACTTTTAACTCAAGGTGCTCACACAGTTAACTTTAAAATTTTATTTCTTCTTCCATTAGCTTAGCAACAGTAAAAGTAAGAGTGCATTTGCATAAAGTTAAAAAAAAATAATTTTGATAAACGCAATTCTGCATCATATTTTCCGAAAACTTAAGCTCAAATCCAGGTATTAAACATCTTGTTTTACAATAATACTTTATTAATATCTTAGGAGTAAAACATAAGATAAACTGTCTTGGAAAATTTTTCCAATAGTGAAAAGATGGCGAATGTTAGCTGCAATAGCGCAGTAGTTATGACATTGATCTGTTATAGTGAAGAACTGTCTTTTGTCCCATTTGGCAGTTTGAAGTCAACCTAGCTTACCTGGAATGTAAAGCCCACGGTGCTGCCTTCATTGCCACCATCACACTGTTAGTCTCCAATTTGTCAGTCTTAACCTCCATAACCCCTTGGCTCATAACTAGTAATGCAAGTTTTTTTTGTGGTATGAATATCCTTATTGTATATGCCCATTTTAACTGTTGCATTGTTATTAATGGAAGAGAATAATTTTTTTCTAATGATCCCATTTGTATACATACTTAAAGTAAAGCAATATTCTGTCGGTTGTTTGATAACTATGATTTCTAGTTATATTTTAAAAGTTAGTTGTGAAAGTTTTACTTGGTAAATGAAGTCATCCTTTCTATAAGAGCCATTTATAATGATTATTGAATACAATTGCTGCTGTATTGTCTACTCATATTAATGTTACACACAATTTGCTTTAGTACATATATATATATACTATATATATATTTTTTATGTTGTATAACAAGACTCAAATGTCTAAAATGATTTTTAAGGATATTTCAGCAGTATTTATGGATTACATAAAATTAGAAAGATTGTTAGCAAACATCAAGTACTGATAATGGACAAGTTTGAAGCTAATATTTATCATTGTTAAAGTTTTTTTAAGACTGTATTTTGAAAAAGAACTATCTAATGTGCAATTTTATGGATCGTTCAACGTGTTAAAAGTCATAACTTATAGTACCTGAATTTCTGTTGAATTAAGCTTTACAGATTGTTTATTATAGATCAAATGCTCTGATTAATGTATATTCAATGGTATTAAAATCTAGTCAAATATTAAATTTTAACATTTAAGTAATGAATTGCATTTGTTTCTGCTAAAATTATCAGTTGTTTGTTTTAACTTTATCTTCTTAATTATATTAACATGCCAATTAATTTCTTGTGATTGCTTGTTATGAAACAAACTTGCTAAACATTTGTGCTTTCATTTTGTATTATTGCTAATGAACAAATTTATACCAAAATAGTTGAAGTTTTTTTTTTTTTTAAATTTAATATTTTTAACTGATTAAGTTAATAATAGACTACATATTTAAAATTAAAAAGTCTTGATGTTATGAATTTTTTAATTCGATGCTATGGCTTCTGTGGTAATACTGTAGCTTCAGCAAGCTTAAAAACTCTTATGAGCCAGGATAAGTATTTAGTATTTCAATGGTACTTTTAGTTTGTTATTTAAACGTCATGTTTTCTTGAACTAGTTGTTTTGAATTAAATACATTATGTAGTAAAAAAAAGCCAGTTACCCCCCTTTTATGAATAGGTGTTTCAACACGATCTGAACATTTTGATGTGATATTACTTATTTATTAAAAAGTGATACTTGAACTATAAATGTCTGACTTGTAACCTTCGAGGGCTGTTTTAAACGAGACAGTCTCCATAACAAATGGCAACTAAAGAATTTTTGAAATTAATGGACCTTTCCTATACAAATACAATGTCCAACTTTTATTATTTTTAGGCTTTTTGTATTTCCCAATTCATTTTTTGAACTTATTTCTCTTTATTTATTGCTTCTAAAAATTGAATATTAAGCTAAAACAATGTAATTACTTAATTTATATGAGACCTGAAACAAGTGTATAATGTCAGAAGAAATATGTTTCTCCCTCTTTATCTATAATACTATGAGCTTGCTTTCAAATATATGTTGTGGAACTAAGATAACTTAGTCGTTAAACCCTGAATTATAGGTGCATTGATAATCTGCTTTTTCCATTGTGTTATTTATCTTGTATATCATAAACAGGAGTTTCTGGAGTGTTACAAATTTGAATATACTTTTTTCAGGTTTTGTTTCAATGGGACTAGTTTCAGATCTCATATAAATGGTGTGTAATGCTCTCAAAATAATTATATCAACTTTTATTCCTTTGAGATAGTTTCTACTGTGTAACAACTATACAACATGAAAGTTGTGTAAATTCTACTTATAATAGAATCACAAATTAAACTCTTTATTGCAAAATAAGTTATCTGCCAACCCTTATTCATGTTTGTGCATTAAATACCTGCTTCTTTTACTTCTAGGATTTTTCCTAGTCCTCTATATGTGAACGCACACATTAAATGTTCTGTGTATTCGTCTGAAATATATGTCACATAGCTTTTAGCGCTTTAAATGTCTTGTGTATTTAAATTCTAGTACATTTCTTGAACAAGTACTATGTAGCTTTTTAATGTTAAACATTAATGTATTTTAAATTCTGATTCTTTATTAATGATGCATTCCAACTGCAAAGTAGATGTTTTAACTATTTAAATTTTGAACTTAAGCTCTAAAAAGCTGTTTACAACTTATTAGGTTTGCTTCTTCAGAGTGGTCGCTCCTTTTGGCAAATGAAAAAAAAATAAAAAAAATGGAATTCACAGGTCATTTGAGAATAACATTTAAAATTTCTTGGAGAAGTTATTAAAATTTTACAAGCAATTAGCAGTATTGTACCAATTATATCATAGAAATTCACTGTGAATATGTTTAAATTTTTAGGCATTAAAACTGTTTTATTTTATAAGAGTAGAACTATCATTTTTCATATTGTTAATGCTATTTAATTAAATAAATTAGTTTGAATTAGAAAATAAATTTAATTAATATTAGTAATTTTGATTTTTTATCAAACAAATCTTTTTTATTAATTTCTGAAAGTAAAACTTAAAAATTTTATTTTTCACAATCAATTCATATCTTTCTCGAGTTTGTAAAAAAATTTATCGTAAATTTGCTAAATAGAAGATAAATACAATGTATATAAATTTTTTATGTACAGTATTCAAACTATGATTATATTTGTGTAAAGTCAAGTCACTAAAATTTGTAAAATTTTACTTTGTCTGGAGAGTGACCACCCAGTGTTGGGAATTACCTGTAACTCGCTTTGTAAATAGAATTTTGTGTGGAATATTGCTACAGGTTCCTGTTAGATCTGAACTATTGTAAACAGGTCTAAATTTGGATATAAAATTAATTATTGCAACTGGAATGACACTTTATAATGCCCTTTTAAAATGTGTTAAGATTAACATATTACACTTGAAGATCTTATTGCGTTGCGCTTAATGCATTTTATATCTCAAAATTCTAAATCTGCATTTAAAAAGATAATGGTTAAAACTTTTAGAATTTGTGCTGTTTATGTTTATGGAACCTACTGTAATAAGCAAAAAAAATTTAAGGACCACAACTTTTTTTAAATTTATTTTCTTATTCTTCAATTTCTTATTTTCAACATATTTTATTTATTGATAATTATTTAGTTATTTTTTTTTTCTAAAGTAAAATCTATTACAAAATTAAAAGTGTGCATATTGACTCAGAAAATATGCTTCTCAATGTTAAGACCATAATTTTTTAAAAATAGTATTGTTTAATAGAAACCCATTTTTTCAGTTGTGTTTATTAAAAGTCTTGCTCTTGCACTGAGAACTCTCTAGCTTTTTATAGTTGGAATGAATACAATTATTTTCCAAAAAAGTTTACGGTGGTCTTTTAAAGTATTCTAAAAACTTTTTTTAATGTAAACTATGAAAATATAAATTCAAGTATTTTATTACATATCCTATGTCCAGTATTTGCATCACACTCGCAATGAGTGAGTGGTATACATTCCAAGCTTTATTTTTCTATAAAAATAGACTCAAAATATTTTTATGAATTTAGTATTGATAGAAATTTATTCTGTTATGCAATCGCATTTTGTTTGTTGTATAAGTTGAATAATTTTATTTTAGGTTTTGAATAGAAAGGAAATATAACTTAGTGAGTGTGATATATTTATACTGGACAACCTATTTATAGTGTAATTTTCTTTCATGTTCTTAACCTTATACTGTCTGAATGAATTTCTTTTTACTACCTGAATCTTAAGTTATTTAGTTTATTATCTTTCAACAAAGTAATTTTAAGTCTTGTGCACAAGTAGAGAAATTATTCCAAATTGAAGATTTATTTTTCACTGCAAAAATAAAATGAATACTGATGGCTATATGCATCACTATGCAGTTACGGGTTAAAGCAAGTCATATGTATTGATGTCATATTCTAAGTAAAATTAATTTAACCTCAATTGAAATGTTGTCAAGATTGTAGGAAGTAGATGTGTATTATAATAGTATCTTTTTTTTTTTAATCAAATTTTGTTTAAATGATCAAAAGCTGACAATAAATATTTCCTTCCATCCAACTAATTCCCGGTGAAAATAAAATGTCCCTTTCCACCTCTGTGTCTAGAATATACCTTTTTACTTAATGGATATATGGAGCTTCTGTATAGATCGATTTTGGAGCCAATTACTCTTGTATGTCACTTGTGTCCCTGTGAAAATTATTTATTCCATGTTAGATGATAGTATGTGTTGTATGACTGTTATTTAATTTATAAATTTTGATGTGGATTAATCACCGATTGTAAATAATTTCATGTGAAATAAAAAAGGCCAAGTACAAATGTGTTAGCTATTTTAGTGTATTCTTATTTTATACTTTCCTTAATTACGAACTAGAATTTATCTATTGCAGTTTGTGGCTGTGGAACCCTAACCGATTGACATAATGATATACATTAGCAATTATGAACATTTTAAAAATGAAAGATCATTAATTATTTTTAAAATATGTAATGATTTAAATTTTATTCATTACTTTGAACTAAGAATGAAATTTATATTGTTTTATCAATGTTAATCTTAAAATTTGGTTTTATGTTGACAGTTGAATTCACAGTTCTGGAGCGGCATCTAGTCAAGTTCTTTTGATTTAATGTATCCATGCATAAACTGAAAAAATGAATGAGCTGAAATACGGTTTCTGTTAAAATAAAATGTAAATGAGAAAGGATGGAAATAAACATAAGAATGGTAAAATACTGAGAAATATATTTCTTCAATGAGAAATACTAATGCAATTTTCATAATTCCATATCCTTTTCATTATTTATTCATTATTTCGTTATTAAAAAAAACACTGTATTGTATTTTTATGAAAATATTAAATCATGGATTATTAATTGGATACAAATTTATTCACAGGTTCTGAAAATCATTAATAGTTCCAATTCTTGGAACCCCTGTGACCCTTCCACAGAACCCTAGGGTTCCGTGAACTTCATTGGATATATTTGTGGAACTCTCCCCCCCCCATTTTAAGCAAATAATTTTCTTGTATGATCCCTTTTCATTTGAATAAGTACATAAGCAGTAAATTTATTTTCCAAATAAATCTTTAATTTTTTTAAAAATATAATTGAGGAGTTTTCTTATCTTTTTGCATTAAGGCGGTCTTTGACAGGGATAAAGGTTTTTTTTAATAGATCATCAATAAATTTATTTATTTCACATTTTAATATTTTATTGATAGCTCTGCAACAATGAAAAAAAGCTTACTGAATGTAAGCCCCTTTGCATAAGAATAAACTTAGTTCTTAACACTAGAAAGACTAAAATACCTATATTGCCCAAAAGCAGTCAAAATGACTGCATTCTGAAAGAATAAATGTATAAAGAAATTTGTTTAAAATTAATTTTTGATATTATTTTCAGTTATATAACAAGTTATTAGTAAATATCAACAATAAAAATAATTATTATTCTAATAGAAATTAAAATGACTTCCTTGGGCAATCTAGTGTTAAAATCACTTACAGCAATAGGTCTAGTTTTCAAACTTATCTAAATTATGGCACTGGTAAGAGAATCAGATTGTTAAAAATTGGTATATTCAAGATTGGTATCACTCAAGGCAAGATGTTTATGTTGTACAATGTCACACGATTCATTTATATATTAAAAAAGCGATGCAGTTGTGGATTATAGTGCGGCTTCAATACTCGTGAATCATGATGGTACTGAAATTTCCTTAAAAAACAGTATTTGTAAAATCCTGTTTCCGTTTAAATAAATAAGAAACAATATTTCAATAACTTAAGTAATAATTTATTCTATATATATGTACAATCTATGTATAAATATATTTATAAACGTTATAAGTATAAAAACTCTGATCACATAAAATTGCATCATTTTAATGATGCCACAATGGAAAATATGGACACTTTAAAAATAAAATTCTAGTTTCACTATTTTTTTTTCTGCACTGATTCTACTCTTTAGCTGGATGCAACCCAACTGGCAGGAACCCATTGAGGCACTCTTTCGACTATTTTCACTATATGTAATAATTCTTGAAATGCTCGTAAAAGGTCATCATTTACAATCACAGCATCAAACATGTGTCCGTATAAAAATTCTAATTTGTGTCCACCATATACTATTTCATGAAATTCACCATCCTGAAAAACAATGTTAGTACAATTATATATTTATCAGGGGTCTCTCCAGACATTTTATGAAAGGTCCGTTTTTGTAAAATTGTGAAAAAATTACTCGTAATTTGTGAATATAAAATAGACATTAAGTCACATTCTTTCAACCAGTGTCCGATTTTGTGAATTTGTGCAAATAGGGTCCGTTTTGCAAAAAAAAAAAAAAACTCAAGGAGTTTTTAAATTTTAAAGACATACAAAATTATGCTCAACACTGTAAAATTATAATTAAAAAAATTAAATTTTCAAAAATAAACAGCAATTTCAGCTACTAAATTAGCGATGCAACATACAAATATTTGGTATTTAGTCTATACTGCTGAAAGCAGAATATTCATTTCTGACGAATAAAGGAAGAAGCGTCTGCCGAAGACAAAATTTTGTTTGATTACATCTGTCTTTCTCCCCCCCCCCCTTCCTGGGAAGGGTTTTTTCGATTAACAAAATAATGAAGATAAACAAATTTGTGAAGGGTTCGATTAAAAGATAAATTATTTTGTGAAGGGTCCGTTTTTATGAAAAGATATTTCCGTTTTTATGAAAGATAAGGTCCGTTAACGGACCCAAATTTCTTCTAAACAGACCCCTGTTTATTTAGTGATACTGATTTATTAGGATTAAAGATTTTTTTTAAATATCTTGTGTAATTAAGTTTTCAAAAAAATCAATACCTGTGCAGATGAAATATTTTTCAGAATCTAAAAAAGCATTGAAATTTATGCATGGAGATTCATACAATAAGTATTGTTTGTTTTGAAATTTGTTTTTCATTACTTAAATAGAAACCAATAAAAATTCAAAGTAGATGATAACAATTTTAAAATTGATTGTGATTCAATGTGATTTCTGTACATATTTTTCACCTTTAGTAACAAGTAATCCATCAAGGTATTAAAAAATATCTGAAAATGAACAGGTAATCTAAAATTTGTTATTAATAAATTCACCTAGACACTCAAAACTAAGCACTGCATCTGTCAAGTAGGCTGAAGCTAAAACTTTGAAAAAGGATTCAAGAAATTGAAATGAGTTATATAAGAGGGTAATTTAAAAATTGTTGAAGATTAAATGCAGTTATTACAGAATATTGCATGTTTGATAAATTTTTATGGTGTTAAGTAATAGCCTTTTCAAAAGTCAAAGTGTTCTTTTTTATTCTTAGGGAGAATTTTAAAAATTCAATTTAGCTCTGGATTATAATAATTAATATGATTTTTTTAAAGGCCTTTGGTCAAAATAGTTAAAACATATAGATCTTTTTTGCTATCAAGGGTGATTGTATAAAGGAGGGTGTATCTCCAGGTTTTTCCTATTATCCTTCCCGGTCTAAAAACTAGGAGTAAGGCTTAAGACAATCTGGTATCGTGATTTTTTTCCACATACTTCCGCAAATTAAAACTTCTAATCTGACAAAATTTCTGAAGAGTTCCACAACATAAAACTTTCGCTAAATCCCGTTAAAGAGACACTTTCATAAACGTAATTTCTTTAGGATTTTCGACATTTTCCCATTAGCACGTAAATCTTAGTTTAAAAATTTATATTAAACACGTATATTATATAAATTGATATAGAGTTCTTGCCATAAAATTTTCAGGGTTTCTCACTTAGTGTTACAATCACCCGTTATTTTCTTAGAAGCTTTTGTTAGTTTTCTAAAACATAGTAAACTGTTTTTATATTAATTCTTCAGATGAATGAATGATAGTTTTGGTCAACAAGAGATCAAACTAAGAAGAATTTTTGATTAACTTAATCAGTGTATTATGTGTGTACCAAGGAATTTCAAGTTTTTCGTATCATTCTTCTGGGTCTAAGAACTAGAAGCAGAGCATGTGATTTTTCCGCAAAAATCGCGAGTATTGCAACGTATCTCAAGACCAATGGTTTGCGACTTCTGCGAATCAACAACTTATAATCCGATAAAATTTGAAACTTTTGCTATGTCCTGTTAGCAACATTTAGATACACATGATTCTTCCGCCCAATTAGATAAATTTCGTAAGGTGGATTTTCGCCATTTTGAATATTTGGAACTGCGTCAGAATCTGCTAATATAAATATCGAAATATTTTAATATCAAATATCGATTTTTGTATTTACCGGATTAAAAAGTTACGCGTTACTATTCGTATTCACTCTACTAAAAAGTCGTACATCGTGTTTATTATTCTCGCAAGTTTAAAATCCAATGTGGCGATTTGTATTCATGGGTTTTAGAAATCCAATATTACGATAATTTAATATCAAATATCGATTTTTGTATTTACCAGATTAAAAAGTTACACGTTACTATTCGTATTCACTCTACTAAAAAGTCGTACATCGCGTTTATTATTCACGCAAGTTTAAAATCCAATCTGGCGATTTGTATTTACGCGTTTTAGAAATCCAATATTACGATTCATATTCATGCAGTTGTAATATCAAACATTGATTTTCATATTTGCACGTGATTTAAAAACTAAGCATTACGATTCGTATTAAAGCGATCTTAAAATTATGCAGCGTGATTCGTATTTACGCGATTTAAAAATTCAATATCGGAATTTATATTCTCCTGTTTTTGAAGTCCAATATATCAATTCATATTCACGCGATTTTAAAATCCATTATTGCGATTCTTGTAAGAAGTAAGTTTTTTCTTGAATTAAAGCTTATTTTAATATCGATATTTTGCACATAAAAATTCCAGGGTTTCATTTTGTGTCACAATCACCTGTGATTAAGCTTTTTAAGCAATTATAGATTTGTTTTCTTTGAGCACAAAATTGGAATAAGAACAATTCAAGCTAATAATTTTGCAAAAAAAAATAGTATTTAAAATCATACAATTAAAACTTGATAATGAAATGAACAACCATACATACTGTAAAACCTCTAGAGCAATACTGATCAAAAGTTGATCTAGCATTAGCCCTAATTCTTGTTTCTTTTAATATTTCCAGAGGAGGGGGCTTGATGAAGATGAGGTAGGGTTTTATTTCAGGTGTTCTTAATACTTTCAATGCCTGCAGAGTGAAAAAAATGAAGCTGCTGTTAGTATTTTTCTTATAAATTATTAGGTAATTAAGAAAAGTTTTTCAATTTCAGACAACTAAGATATAACATAAACAAGGGGTGTCACACATATGTTTTGTAAACTTTGTTCAATTGATACATATCATTTTGCAATAGAAATGGCCTACATATGACATTTAACAGAAATATTTTTCTTTGACAAAACCTGCCACTGTTTCGGCATAAGTGTATAAATTGTCATGGGAGTAAGAGGGGCATAAATTTCTGTCCGGATTTTGAACTTGCTTAAAAAAGATCGTTTGGAATTTATATAACACTCAAAACTGTATTAACTGAAGCGCTTGAATTTTAAAATAAATACTAAATGATCCAATAGCGAGAAATACAGGGCTAAGTAAGAAAATATTGTATGATGCATAAATAAATAACCAGTAATAGTAACTGAGAAAACTTTCTAAATAAAGTTTGAAATTAAAATTTTTCATTTTTCGAAGCTTAAACATTGATGAATGCCCAGAAGATAAATGCTAAAAATGCTTTAAATGTTTTAAAAATGCTTTAGTTTTAAATATTTGAAAGAAAGGAAAACTGAAAATACAAATAAAAATAAGGTGGTAAAAAAAGAAAATAAACAATATGTACAAAAATTTTAAATGATCTGTAAAAATAATTTTTTCCATTCATGTATGAGTTATCTTTTATGAAATAGTTAATTACATTCTCATAAAAAACAAAATTAACTTCTAGCACTTAACAGTTATGTGGATTATTATCTTTAACTAACAACTTTATGACTGAATTATCATTTCAAATAATAACTCTGTTGATTTGAATACCATATCATCTATTACACTAGTTTTTAACATTAATTATGTCCTCAAAAAACTCACTTATCTGAGACTAAATTTGAAATCTATCCATTCTTTATAAGTTTCTGATTGTAAATTTTCATGTTATAATATTGTTTCAATAAATGTACATTGCAAAAACTTTTAGATATGTATTAAACAACTAGTTTTTTCCCTTAACACTAGATTGCCCAAGGAAGTCCTTTTGACTGCTTTTTAATTTAAATTAGAAAAACAATGATGTATATAATGACACAATTTCTTAGAACTTTGTGACCTTTTGTACAACGTATAATTTATAATTGTTAATATTTACTAATAACTTGTTATATAGCTGTAAATTATATAAAAAATTTAAAAATTAATTTTAAGCAAATTTCTCTTTCAANCACAATTTCTTAGAATCTTGTACAATGTATAATTTTTTTATTGTTAATATTTACTAATAACTTGCTATGTAACTGTAAATAATATAAAAAAATACATACGGAAGTAGTATACCGGGCGTGAAAACAGAATCATGCATTTGAGTTATCGGGCAAATGATCCGAAAACATTACTATTGCATACTATTATGAAATTTTCATTAATTTTATAAAAATATTATTAATGCAAATTAAATTATTATTAAACCAATCTTAAAATCGATGCTTACCTGGGGATGAGGAGTCATGACACACACATATCCAGCATTAATAATAGACTTGACAGTTTCCAAACTGGTGCCATACAAATTACCTTTATACTGCCCATATTCAACAAACCAACCCATTTTAATTTCTTCTTGCATGCTTTCCCTAGAACTGAAGAAATATTCTTTGCCATCGATCTCCCATGGAAATTTTGGACGACTAGTATCTATAATAAGAAAATAATGTTTACAAATTTAGTACATTTTATGAAAACTGGCACTAAATTAACACAGAAATACTTTCTTAAAATATATTTTAATATTTAGGAATGGTATGCAATAAGAAATATAATAAATGATAAAATGTTAAATATGTTTACTGATAATTAAAATATTTTTAAATACAATAAGTGCCACATTTTAATTGTTACAGTTTTACAGTTGTTGTATTTAAAATTATGCAACAAAAAAAAAAAAAAAAAAAACATGCTTTTATTGACAGAATTTTCTGACAAAAAAAAAAGCTTCATATTTTTAAAAGTTTCGATTTTTGCAACTGTACTAAAAATCTGTTTTTAGACTCATTGCACATTTACCGCAAGTTCATTAAAAAGTTTGTAAGATCACTAGGATGATTAATGATACAAATTTTTTTTTTATGATTTAAAACTATTTCAAAATAAAAAAAAACTTTAAAAGCCTCATAAAAATAATGAGATGTGTTTGAAATGTTTAAAATATGTGAATGTGCTTATTATTTTAACAAATATATGATTGTCACATAAATTTAGTAACACATACAAAGATAAAATAAGAGATAATGTTCCCAGTAAATAAACAAATGATAAAAAATAAGAAATTTTTTAATAGGGATCGAATACCACTCAAATCAGATTTCAAATTTCCCTGATTTTTCCAGATAAAAATCTTAAAATTTCCAGGTTTTAGTTCCTTTATTCTAATAAAGTGTAGGATGTGGGTACAAGAAAAGTGTCCATATTATAAAATATTTTATTCAAAATGTTATTTTTTTAACATATCTTGAAAAAAATAATTTATTTTGACAATTTGGCAAAATTTTTTATTCATTTTTTAATGTTTTGGTACAAAATTTTGAATCAAAAATTATATATTGACCAACAAAAGAGTAAAATTAAATATTAGCATATAGTTAGTTCTGTTGTCTTCTTTTACTTTCTATCGCTGTTTGCTTTTCGATGTGGCAATGAGTCAAGTTAAGAATGATTTCAACAATAAAACAATAAATTTAATAAGAAATAAATGAAAACAAACTACTCCAGCAGCCGAGTACACTGCGGCTTCCTAATCGTTTCATATTAAAAATCTCTCTCTTACAATTTGTAAACAGACACAGTAGTTGTGGCGCTGCGCCACCTGCTGGACAACTCACAATTTAGGGGAAATGTTAACAGTTCTTAAAAAAAACAACCTTTTTTTAAAATTAAAACATGTTATAAAAGGTTAAAATGAAATGGAAAAAATTAGCATTAATGCAACAATTGTAACAATTTGTCGACAAACATTGCTGTTAGCGATTGCAACAAAAAAAAATTTCTGATTTGTTGGTTTGCTGAGAAAAAATAATTCACAGATTTCTTTTAATGGGAATACAAAAGCTTTCAGAAAAAGAGTGCAATATAAAATCTATTATTATTATTAAATTATAAACAACTAATTTTTGGAGAATTTTATAAAGTTAAAAATACAAAAACATTTTGTCTATATGGAAAAAAATTACCAAAAAACCATTGGAATAAGCTTAAGTCATAAATAGATTCAGCCCAAGGACAGAATTTAAAAACAGAAGCTAATATCCTAATCCCTTCTTCCACCTCCACCACAATCTTTAATAAATTGCACAGTACATAGCGGTCAAAGGCTTCCACATTCGTTAAGCAATAGTGGGAGAATTTTATGTGGCATTCTAGTTTAGCAGTGCTGTAATGGAGCAAATTTTGATGCAAGCAAAGTATTGCTAAGTTGATGATATTTCAACTGCTTGAAGATACATTACCGTCTAAAAAAAGTGGGTATAACGGATGAAATAACTTAAATTAAGAAAATTAGTAAATAATTTAAATTAGTGAAATTAAAAAAAATTCCAGCTTTTCCTTAAAATTCCTGGATTTTCCAGGTTTTTATCCAAATTTCCCTGATTTTCCCAAGTTTTTTTCAGTATAAAAAAAAATTCTTGATAATTTCAGGTGGGTGGCCACCCTGGAATACTTTCCATACACTGAGGTGATCCATGAATCCATGATCTTTCATATTTTTTTTCCCAAATTTTTCATTTTGATCTGTTGGTAACATTTCTGTTTGTTATATCTTATCAAATTTTATCATATTTGATCAGATTAACGGAGTGTTTGGGACTATGCATAAATATTTTATAGTATTAGAAGAATTTTATTAATCAAAAATTAACTTTTTTCCTTATTTATATGAATAATCATGGTTGGATTTATCTTTCTGTAAAAATATAGAATATTTTTTAATTATATTAAATATAATAAAATTGCAATGAAGTTAGATTCACACACAAAAAAAAGATTTTCATTCATTGACTATCTTCATAGTGTGTACTAAGTAGAAGACACACAAGGGTTGTTAACTGTAAAAAGTTCTTGAATAAAATAATTCAGACAACTTATTTGTATTAAATATGTATTAAAGAAGTTTCATATCATAAAAAGATATCTAGTTTAATAAGATATATAAAGATCTTTTTATTTTTCAAAAATTATAATCTATGTAAAAAAAAGTAAGACAAGCTTGCTTACGTGGTATGGTTTGTCTAAAATGATCAGGATCAGAAGCAATTAATCTTCTCTTGAGCTCATTTCTTCCTACTCCAGGTGGACCTTAAAAGTAAAAGGAATTCAATGAAATCAGCCAGATGCAATAACCTTTTTGTAGATATCAAGCCTTTAAAATTCACATTGCCCAAAATGCTCGGGCAAGTGAAAATTCCGATCATGCATCAACTTTTTACCCTTACATATATGAGTACCTAAATATTCAACCAGAATGGTAAAATACCACTCCTCACACTTTTACAAACACTTTTTTTTACACTTTCTTGTGTAGAAAAGCAGTACAGTAAGGAGAAAATTCTCAGAAATTTTACTACAAGCAAAACACCAAAGGGTTAAGTATTAAAAGGTTAACACCAAAGTGGGAGTCTGGAGGCTTTCAGGAGAACTCCTACAGTGCATCATGACGGGTTCTATGGTTACGAGGAAAAGTCATTTTGAATAGGGGGTGAATAGTTTTGTCTTAATCTCGGCATAGGTCGGTGTGAGTAAACCAATCGACACATTCTTTCCTCCATTTCACCTTCATTAGAGATGTGCTCTCGCTTGTTACCATAGTAGCAGCTCCAGACTTTTAGTCTGGAGGAGTTCGCCTCAAAGTCGAACTATACCGGTCTTCCTCTAAGATGATTTTTCAGTGTATCTTCATCAAACAACATTTTTTTTATGATTATTACTCTAAAATCATCAAAAGTTTATCTAAGAGTTAGTGTTTACTGAGTCCTAATGAGCAGTTAAATATTACAAAATTTATAAAGATAAAAGAAATGGGAAAAAGTTAAAAATTATAACTCATATTAAAAAATAATACAAACCTATTAAAATTATGGGACGGTGTAAGCCTGGCCTAGGGTTTAATCGAGCCACTTCTTCATAAGTAGCAATTTCTTCTCTATCAAAATCTAAACAATAAACAATTGATATATATGTAAATACTAATATTAAGAATAATTGATACTGATAAATAAAATATAAATAACACAACTTTTTTAAAATTTGACTAAACAAAAGCATAGTTTTCAGTAACAAACAACATTTATTGCTGTCATTACTAGAATCATATTATAGTCAGAGACGTCACTGTATAAAAAATATTGTTGTATAAAGCAATAATACGTTTAAAATTGAGTCAATAAATAAACTTTATTAATAGTAAGTGTGTGATATGCATGTTGCTCTCTTTTGAAACATTTTGACAACGTCTGCTGTCTGCATGCCGCAAGCATTCCTAAAATAAGGAAGTAAAATCTTGAGACATGGAGATCACAGAATGATCTACGATTTTTAAGTGACAACTGTTATGTAATCTTAAAAATTTATTGCAGTCAACTAAATTAACAGAAAGTAAAAATATATACACTTAAATGCACTCAAATAAGGCAATGTTCAAGGTCAAAAACAAGTAAGAGACTAAATTTACTCCAGAATTACACTAAACATCCTAATTCAAAGTAAAGATGATATTTAATGGAAAAAATAAAATATGTGTGACTTACAAATAAAGGGCTTGGGACAATATAGTGATAAGTCATACTTTTCTCAGAGACTACATTTTTATATCAAACCATTCCTTAGCACGGTTTTCAGATAGATATTTTACAAATTTCGAGTATTCGTATTAGATGGCTTCATAATACACAAAAATTTTTTAGTGCCAACATAGAAATTGTCGCAAAAATTTTTTTTATTGAAAGAGAAATTTATTTTCGAATTTTGAAATCGGGCTTCAAATTGAAGCTCTTCAATATTACTCATCATTCAATTTGTAACTGTGAAAGCAAAAACTAAAGAAAACAAAGAAAGAATTAAAGGAAAGAAAAGTCTATGCTTGGCGAAAATAGATCAAGATTAATTTGTTTTCTTTTTGCATTTCAAAACTTTAAGGCATCCCTTAAAAAACTTGTTCTACTAAGGTTCTATGTTAAAATTATATTGGTAAAAATGCAGACATAATAATTAATTATAAATGTATGCACAATCAAATTTTTCACTGTCTACACCGAAAACAGTTTCTTTTAAACAACATAAATATAAAAAGATATTTAAATTTAAAGTAGGTTTTGCCATTTTATTTAAAAATAATTTTTTAAACAAGACTTGAAATAAAATTTTCAATTAAAGTTTACATTATTACATTAAAAGGATTAGCGTGATGTGATAAATTAACAATACAACTCTAATTTTCTTTACTTTGTTAGATTGTAGCTACAAAAATAAATGTTGAATTTTTTTATATGAAATTTTTTTTTTGAAACTCATTAAAGTTAGCTAAACACATAATTTAGTATAAAATTTTATTATTCTTCATAATTTTCGTGTTAAAATCGCTAGTTTGCAAAAAAAAAAATTTAGCATCATTTATTGACACCTCAGCTGCCAATACCTGTAATACCTCAATATCTGTAAAAATAGAATAGAGGTAAATAATCATAGAGGAAAATACAAACTCATAATAATTATTATTTGCAGATAAACACTTATAATAATTCAGAACATTGAACACAGCTTTATTGAGTGAGATTATATTATTTTGGTTGAATTATTACATTTATTATAGAAGGAAAATATTAATTAATGGATAATGCATTACTTAATACAAACTGCTCTAACTTTTAATTACATACTAAATATCTGCTTCCGAGTTTGTAGTTTATTCAAAACTTATATCTAACAAAAGCAATAAGCGTAACTAACGATTTAAAACAATTTTAGATAATCTGCAATTTTTCTTTGTTTTTATTAGCAACTTGATATATTCTATTTTACTCCAAATTATTTAATATCACAATATATTATTGATAATAAATAAAAGTTAGCTGCAAGTAAGAAAATAAATGTTGATAAAAGCATAGAATTATTCATATCTTATCAGTGTAATATGAAAATAGTTTGACAAATATAGAGTATATTATTATTAAAACATAAATTAACTAATAAAAGTAAATGAAATTAAAAAAAAGTGAAAGCAGTTACCATCATTTTCAGTAGCATCATACATTATCTTTTTTATTTTTCTTGGTCGATGGTCCTTACGAACAGGTATTTTGCAGCCAGCCACAAAGTCATCTTGAATTAAAGATGACAAATCTCTCATTTCTGCAAATCGCCTACACATAAAGAAAATAATAAGAATTTAACACTGGTTCAAAACTGTCACCATATCTGTTCTACCATTAAACTTTTTAAATTTATTTTTATTTGAAGGGGAAAAAATTGCTGTGTATATTCTTGAGATTATATTTTAAAAGGAGTGTTAACTCTTTAGAATTCCCCTTCTGAATTGCACAAAAAAAAAAAAAAAATCCATACATTCTAAATAATTTAAACTTGTATTTGATAATATTTAAAACTAGTTGTAGTTAAAATTTTAAATAAAATTTTATTTGCTTATTGAATTAGCAATATTTAAAATTCACCAAGTTCAAACTGATTTTTTCTTTTGAATTAAGATAATATTTTTGCTATTTAATCTAGCTGCTGGGCTGCCTGACAAGCATTTTTTGTTCAAAATATACATTGGGAAGTCTGTGCATAGAAAATAAATTAATTAAAAACTTACAAGATGGCAAAAAAAGCATGGAGAATTAATACAAATAAGATTTCTCTTACACTGACAAGCATATATTTAAAATTATATTAATTCGACAGGATTAATCAACAATTCATGTTGCTTTAGTTTTAATTTCTCATTTTTGAAATATAAGTTTCACAAACAATAATGTTAAAAACATCAGTTAACAGAAGCCTCTTAATCCTCAATTTTACCCAACTGAAGTTTTTCTTTATAAAATCTTGCTTTTGATTTCCAGAGTTCAGGAAAACAATTAAAGATTTATAATAAAATTAAGCAACAATTTAATTATGTTTAAAAACACAAAAAAAGTGTGTTAAAACACATAAACTAGCATCTGTTAACAAAATATTTTGTTAAACTAAAAAGAAAATCAGTGACTTTCAATTATTACATGATGATATAATCTAACAATTATATTATATAACACATATATTATATAACAAATTATTTTAAACAGATAAATCAAAGCAAAAGTTATAAGTTAAACATTTATTTAAAAAGCTTTAATTTCATTTGTTTTCTAATTCTTTGATTGAATGAATCCATCTACTAACATCTATCTTAAACTGTTCAACGGTTTACAACAGATAAATATTGATTATTTTACAGTTTATGGATACTTTTATTTCTCTTACATAATGTAAAAGCATTAAAATATTTAGTTAAAAATCAGGTACAGAAATTTTTTTTTAACATTTTGCAACTTCTTAAATTTTACATAAATTTTTAGAAACTAAATATTAATTCTTAAAAAGTTAATGGTTTAATTATATTTAAATTTTAAAGAAAAATGTATAAATATACAGATAAAAAAGAGCCAATTTAAAATATTTTTATTCAGTTTCAACATAAAAACTGCATTTATCATAGACTTTATGGTTTTGTCTATAATTTAATCATAAAAAAATGTATTGTAACTGATTAACCTTTCTTGAAGTTGTCGACTAGGAATTAAACCGGCTCGAGAGTTCTTCTCTCCATGCTTTCTAGCTTGCCACCAATTGAGATCTTCTTGGTTCACTATGTGCAAGACATCTCCTTTGTAAAAAGGAAGACCAGCTTCTTTACAAGGTATAAGGCTGTCAGCGAAAGGATCGTAACAAAAGTGAGCTCGTACTCGAAGACGACTTTCTCGCGATGGAACACACTCTTCTTTAGGAACAATTTTAAAAGTTATAGGTCCTTCTCTGCATTGCTGGAAGGTTAGTAGAATATTTTTAATATAGGTAGAACATAAATTTAATTAATAATTATCATTAATTTTTTTTCTTATTCATAAAATGTATTTTATGAACTGGTATTATCATAAATTGTATTTTATGATTCTCGGTCTTATTCATAAAATATATTTTATGCTTCTCGCGATGGAACACACTCTTCTTTAGGAACAATTTTAAAAGTTATAGGTCCTTTTCTGCATTGCTGGAAGGTTAGTAGAATATTTTTAATATAGATAGAACGTAAATTTAATTAATAATTATCATTAATTTTTTTTTCTTATTCATAAAATGTATTTTATGAACTGGTATTATCATAAATTGTATTTTATGATTCTCGGTTTTATTCATAAAATGTATTTTATGATTCTCGCGATGGAACACACTCTTCTTTAGGAACAATTTTAAAAGTTATAGGTCCTTCTCTGCATTGCTGGAAGGTTAGTAGAATATTTTTAATTTAAGTAGAACATAAATTTAATTAATAATTATCGTAAATTTTTTTCTTCTTATTCATAAAATGTATTTTATGTATTGATAATAATTTTTGAAACGGTTTGCGATTAACCAAACAATGAATGGCTACATTGCAAAGTTTAAAGCATCATGTTCAGAAAGAATTTATACAAAAAGCTTTGAGTACTCAAATTTACTAGCATTAAAGTTGAGTACTATTCAGTATTTTTTAAACTTTTTATAATTCTAGTGCATTTATTCAGATACTAAGCAAAATGTTAAAAGGAATTCTCCACTTTATCAAAGGAACTCATGAACTTTAGGTAGTTTGAGATTGATATTTACTGAATTTGATGTATCTGAGTAAAAAATTTGCTTAGTGACAGGTACTGGTAATCAATTAAAACTAGATTTATTTACTTGTTGCGGCATAATATTTATTAAATATATATGACTCATAATTCATATGTACCAGACTGNAATTTTAATGAAAAATTCATAAATATACAGATAAAAAAGAGCCAATTTAAAATATTTTTATTCAGTTTCAACATAAAAACTGCATTTATCATAGACTTTATGGTTTTGTCTATAATTTAATCATAAAAAAATGTATTGTAACTGATTAACCTTTCTTGAAGTTGTCGACTAGGAATTAAACCGGCTCGAGAGTTCTTCTCTCCATGCTTTCTAGCTTGCCACCAATTGAGATCTTCTTGGTTCACTATGTGCAAGACATCTCCTTTGTAAAAAGGAAGACCAGCTTCTTTACAAGGTATAAGGCTGTCAGCAAAAGGATCGTAACAAAAGTGAGCTCGTACTCGAAGACGACTTTCTCGCGATGGAACACACTCTTCTTTAGGAACAATTTTAAAAGTTATAGGTCCTTCTCTGCATTGCTGGAATATTTTTAATATAAGTAGAACATAAATTTAATTTAAAAAAATTTTTCTTATTCCTAAAATGTATTTTATTTACTGATAATAATTTTTGAAACGGTTTGCGATTAGCAAAACAATGAATGGCTACATTGCAAAGTTTAAAACATCTTGTTTGTATAGAATTTAAACAAAAAGCTTTGAGTACTCAAATTTACTAGCATTAAAGCTGGGTGCTATTCAGTATTTTTTTTAACTTTATTCAAAATTCTTAAAATTCTAGTGCATTTATTCAGATACTAAGCAAAATATTGAAAAGAATTCACCACCTTATCAAAGGAACTCGTGAACTTTAGGCAGTTTGAGATTGATATTTACTGAATTTGATGTATCTGAGTACTAAATTGCTTAGTGACAGGTACTGGTAATCAATTAAAGCTAGATTTATTTACTTGTCGTGGCATAATATTTATTAAATATATACGACTTGTAATTCATATGTACCAGACTGTAAAACAAAATTCAGGCAAGTAAGTAGAGAGGATATAAACAAAGTTAAAATAACTCATACTTAAAATCTTTAAAATTTAATATGAAGGTATTAGTAATATTTTAAGTATTAATAATATTTCATATTAATGTAATATATTATAAAATTATATAATATATAACATTATATATAATATTATTATTACATAGGATAGAAAAGTTCTTATTAATTCCTCAAAGAAAATCAGTTGTAAGATAAATGCTATTATTTAAATTATTAATTTCTTACCAAAATAGTTACCACATCATATGGTGATTTTCCTTTAATATTTATCCCATTTACTTCATGAATTTCATCTCCAGCATGGATAAGACCTAAAATTAATGGGTTTAGAGAATTCATAACAGTTTGTAAATTTTGAGTGATTATGAATGAAGTTTTCAGAATTACCTATACTTAAAACAACATCTGCTTTTCAAGAAATTTTTTTTTTTAATATTTTTAAATTAGTAGTAGAAATTTGAATGAAATAAGTATAGGTTTTTATACTTTTTTTTTAATGCAAATTATATTTTTTCACTATTTATTTGCTTCTATTACATATATCATTAAATACATTGTGATTGAAGAACTTTTTGATTTTTATAAAGTATTTACTAAGATTTATTTTTATTCTGCTAAACAATCACGCAATTAAGATTAAGAAAAATCTCTCGTTGAATCCAAGTTATGCTCATAATAACAGGATTTTATATACACACTTTTTAGCATTAGACCAACCATTTATAATAAACTTTCTGGTTAAATCCAGAATCTGGATAAATCAAGACTCGAAATGAATGCAACAATATTTCATTATATAAATGTAAAATATATCTTCTAACATTTTTAAAGGTAGCTATAAGTATCTTCCTCACATATGATATCAAAGAGGATGACAGATAATGAGTATGTCAGGCAATCAGGAGTCTACTGTATATAAAGGACGTAAAGCAATTTAATAATAAGCCAAATTTTCAAATTATTCTGTTCTGTAGATCATTACTGATGATCATGACTTCCATGCGGCAAAGATTAGTCTGATTATAGTGTAGTTATAAAATGGGAATTCTGGAAGCCTGTAAAGCACCTACCTTAAAACAATACTAAGTTGGCTGTAAAAGTATCACAGTTTGAAAGAATGTGGCTTTATATGAAATTTTAACTTAATGAAGTTCCCAGTACGATTTTCAAAATACTTTGCTTAGCATTTAAACGATTTTTTTGTACATTTATTTTTTTTTATTTATTGAAGAAAGTAAAAAATTCTCATGTATTTACAAACCAGCTATGAAAGAATAAATCTTAACATATAGAATTTTCTTAAAACAGGAAGTCAGTGTTAAAATTTGGAAAACATGTTACCACTTCGATCAGCTGCTCCACCATGTAAAACTCTAGCTATAACTATTGAGCCAGTTGTTTCATCATACCTAATAGTGGCTCCCTAAAAATGTAAAAAGTGCAACAATTAATATAAAAAATTGTACATTGTTTTCTGCAAGAAAACTCTTAAAACTTCTGCTAAATAAAAAAAATTAATAGGATAATGAATATAGGCTGATCGGTCCTAATTAATAGGATAATGAATAAAGGCTGACCTCAGCCTACCTTGTAAGGCTGATTTTATTCTCTTATGAATTCTAATGCAATTAATATTCTTATAGGAACAAAATCACATTGTTTGTAAAATCATATAGTGGAACATAAGTTCATAACTAAACCCATGTAAGACAATTGTACAAATGAAAGAAACTATTGTGAGAGTTTCTTTGACTGAATATGAAAAATCTACAGCAAATATAAAGTGTCTTACAAAACCCTTACCTAAGAAATTTTTCAAATATCTTGTATTTACATGCAGTATATTTAATACCTTGAATAAATATGTAGATGTTGAATAAATATGTAGGGTATTTTGAATGAATAAATGAAACTTATTTATTTGCATAGAAATTTTACAAACAGATAAAAATAAGATTTATACCATATAAAACTATAATTATAAAGTTTTACAAGTAGTAATAGTAGTAAACTTTTTGTAATGTCAAATGAATACTTACTAAAGGTTCATTACTCTTCACCAATTGTACAATTTTTACAGTTTCTTCATCATCATCTCCTTCTTGAATTATCTCAGGTAGGGCAGGATCAAAATCTTTTTTTGCTACTAAGTCGTGTGTAGCTAATAGTGCCTGTAAAAATGTAGGAAAACTTTTCATAAATTAATTAAAACTTTTGAGAATTACATTTTTAAGTTTATTAAAAAATATTAAAGGATCAATTAATAAGTTCAAATAAGATTATTACAGATATAACAAAAACTTTGTAATGATAAGTAAAAGATATAAAAAAAAATATATTTATATTTAATTATTTTTCTAATGACATTCGAAACATAATGTCTTTTAACAAAAGAGAGTTTAACTTGCCATCTTAAAGAGAATATAGCTTAACAATGAAAAATAATTATGCAGAACAATTTCAGTTACCTCTCAATGTCATAGACAGTATAGATCAGCAATAAAAAACAATTTAAAAAATAATTTATCATTTTTCTAAGATTTCTTTCCTTTTAGTTTATTAACCCTTTGCTTACGGCTGGTACAACATGGAACACCGTAAGCAAAGGGTTAATCAAAAAGAAAGAAATCATAGAAAAATGATAGATGTAACAAATTTTTTTTTAATTTATAAAATAATGAAAAAATTAGAGAATAATAAAATCTATTACAAAAGTAAGAAAATACAGACAAAAATTTTGAACATTGATAGATATTGTCAACAATGGTTGAAATTTTTCTAAGTAAAATAAAAAAACATTCTTTTAAAAACATATTAAAAATATTAATTGAATAATGTAAAAAATACAAAATAAATCTAATATGATAAAAAAAAAATATTTAATAGAATATTCATAGTTACAAATACATACTATGAAAAAACATAAATTTTCAATGTGTATTCACAAGTAGATTACCTAAAAGAAACATACAAAGAATTATACCTGAAAATGAGGTTTTTGAAGTAAAAAGCTCAGTTCTCTAGCTTCGGAACTTAAACTAGATTCTAATGATATCACAATCTGCAATAAAAAAATAATATCTTAAAATACATAAAAATATTATAATAATTTTATGATACTGTCAGGCACAATTTAAAAAAAACATAAACTCAATAAGGTTTTGATATTTTATGTTCGATTTGATGATTTTATTAATTTTTTACTGTAATTGTTCATATTATTTTGAAATTTTCTCTTTCTTAAACCTGCATACTTTCTGAAACAGAGTACTAAAATATTCTTTTACATAAATCTAATAAATTCTGACCTGACATACGCAGCAGATGCATAGCATTGATTTTACAATGGGAGAAGGATTTTGAGATTTCAAAAAGTAAATCTTCAAGAGAGAGTTTTTCTAAGAGAAAATGATTTAATGCTGAATTAAATGAAACAAATAAATGAAATAAGCTAATGTACTAAGCTAATTGATGAGCTAATTAAATGAAACATATAAGCTAATTAAATGAAACATATAAATGAAATAAGCTAATGTACTAAAATACATAATATTGATAAGTGGTCATCTGAACCAAGTCTACAAAGATTTCAGTTACAAAAATATTTTTATGCAAAAAGTCGGTTGATGAATAATAGAATTGAGCTAAGAGTATATATATACAGTGGAACCCTGATTTTACGTTGTCCGTTTCTTATGTTATCCTGCTTCTTGCGNCAATTTTTAATACGCAACATTCCTTCTTTATTTACCTTAGAGGTGTTTTCATGTCTCATTTACTTTAGAGGCGTTCAGTAAAATGATGGGGCAGAGTGGTTGCAAAGGATATTTTTGTGTAATAGTAGAGTATATACAGTGGAACCCTGATTTTACGTTTCGTTTGTTATCCCGCTTCTTGCATCATTTTCTGCTGATCCGTGAAAATTGCCTATGCCGATATTGTTAAGAAATCCCGGATTTTGCGTTGCCCCTTTTATGAAAATCCCGCTTGATGTGTTTTTCTACCAACAGATCAAATTAATTTTTTCTATTCTACAACTCTCACACAAACTTTTTTTCTACTTTTTTGAACAAGAAAAACTTGCTTTTATGGAGCAATTCTTGCATTCTTTCTGTTCCATTTATCAATAGGGGGGTGGGTAACAAGCATAAAAACTACAAAGCATAAAAACTCTAAAACAATTTTTACTTGCAAATGTAAATCAAGAAGCAAATTTGCAAAAAAATGTTAGTATTGAACGAGTTGTAGATGAAATTGTAGCTAAAAACAAAGAGGAAGTGAAGATTACTAATCTTTTCCATTAATTAAACTGGTAGGTGTTAATTTTTAAAAATATGCATAGATTTTTCTTAATCCCGATTTTACGTTATTCCGCTTCGAGCGTTTTTTGTCGCTAGTCCGACCGAAAACGTAAAATCGGGGTTTCACTGTATATGGATTGAGATAAAAAAAATTATAAAATATTTTTTAAAAAAAGAAGGGACAATTTCTGGTTGGAATTTAAAGGTTCTCTCTGGGCTGTTGAGTGAATCTATTATCTTTTCCTCATAAGTCTGTCATTGTTTTCTAAAATGTGTTTTTCAATGCTTTTTGTTATAAAATAGTTTTAACATCAACTAATTTTTAAAAAAAAAACTAAAAAGTAACTATAGCTTTTACTTTTACCCAAGATAGCCGTTATTGTTCTTTTCTCCAAAAGGTGAACAAATTTTGTAAATATAAAAAAAATTTTGAAAAAAAAAAAACAAATTAAGGCACAATTTAATAGTTTTAAAATTTTAGAAAATTTTATTTAAATTTATAGAACTGATTTAAATCCGTAATTTTTAAATATGAGATTTATTCACAAAAGATACTTGGTCAAGATTCTCAAACACTATCATACAAAATCGAATAAAAAGCCAGTATTATGAAAAATGTTATCTAATTTAAAAGGAAAGCACAAATTTAACCAGTTATTTTTAAAGTGTTGTAGAAGTACGTTATAAGTTTGATGAATATTTTAGAAAATATTCTATTATATGGAAATCAACTTGCTCTTTTTCTCCAAAAAATTAAACATAACAAAAAATACACATTTAAATCAACTCTGGTACTACTAATGATGCAAATTTGCCTCAAAACAAACTTGAATTATTTAAAATAAATTTACAAAGTAATTTTTTTAACTAATTTAAAAGAAAATTCTAATATGCTTAACTGTTTCTACCTCTTCAGAGAGACTAGAAGTTTGGAAGACAGCTGGACGTATCTGATGACCATTATAAGTAGAAACTCTGTTGTGAACCTAAAACAATTTTTAAAAAATTATAAATTGTATAGAAAATTAATTTGACTCTATTATCAAAAACTGAATTTTTCATAATACAATAGAAAAATATAAACAGTATTTATACTAAATCTCATAAGGAATATAAACAACTAATATGTTTAAATTAACAAAAACAAACAAGAAAAAATGTTCATTCCCATCAAAATTGCCTTAAAGCAGTTTATTTTGTTATTAATTTCCACTTAACTTTGATGTTTAGGTTATTTTTAAGTCCCGAACAAGAGCATTTAGTTGTGCATTTTAAAGTATAAATTTTTTTTTTTTCACTGAAAAAGTTAAAATAATGTTTTCATCTTCAGGTAGATCAAAATATAAGTATTAAAAAATCGTCCAAAATAATGCCTGAGTAATATGTAATACATTTCATGCAGATTAAAAATTACCACATTAAAAATTTGATGACATCTTTTTTTCTTTCTTCCTAAAAAGTATTTTTAAACTTACTGATTGTTCTGCTTCAAAAAAAAGAAAAAATTAATTTTAAAATGAGATTTTTTCTGCAAACAGATTGAAAAAATTTATACAAAGAAAACATTTTTATTAAATTTGTACACATGGAAACCAACAGAAAGTTAACATGAAAATTCTTTGACAGATAAAAATTTGTAAATGAATAACATTTAATAAAATTTAAATCCCTGTATTAAAAAAAAAGGTTTTGGAATCATAATACTAATTCAACAATTTTATCTTCTAGCAATGGAATGCAGAGGTATTTGGATACACAAAGCAAACTTTTCAATTAAATTCTCTCTAAAACAGACATGTCATCACTGCAGGAGAAAAAAGCTATAAATTAATATGTTACATTTCTTTTTATGTAATGCAAATAAAAATTACTCTTAATAAAAATATATATACTATATAAAATAGTCTTCACCCTTTATTTTCTAAAATGCAGAATGTATTTCAATGATCTAAAACATCATTGATAAACTTGTTTGGAAATCATATTTAATTCTTACCATAGAATATTTTAATTTAGTCAATATATATCAGCTAAAAAATTTAATTTCTTAATAAAATTAATGGTAATAGATCAAAGATGCCAACAGCTCCGGACATGCCAAAATAAATTTTAAAAAAACAGTAAATACCTACAAATTAAAATTTGCAAATAAATTACTAATTTTGCTTACTTTTTAGAAGGTTTAGCATTACTTAACAATAACAAAGTGGCGAATTATATATGCCTTCGAATTATTTACAAATAGTGGCGGATAGAAACCTAATAAATTGTATTTATTAAACCAAGAATCACAATTAATAAACTACCNATGTAATGCAAATAAAAATTACTCTTAATAAAAATATATATATATAAAATAGTCTTCACCCTTTATTTTCTAAAATGCAGAATGTATTTCAATGATCTAAAACATCATTGATAAACTTGTTTGGAAATCATATTTAATTCTTACCATAGAATATTTTAATTTAGTCAATATATATCAGCTAAAAAATTTAATTTCTTAATAAAATTAATGGTAATAGATCAAAGATGCCAACAGCTCCGGACATGCCAAAATAAATTTTAAAAAAACAGTAAATACCTACAAATTAAAATTTGCAAATAAATTACTAATTTTGCTTACTTTTTAGAAGGTTTAGCATTACTTAACAATAACAAAGTGGCAAATTATATATGCCTTCGAATTATTTACAAATAGTGGCGGATAAAAACCTAATAAATTGTATTTATTAAACCAAGAATCACAATTAATAAACTACCACTAGAAAATATTTATTCGCTGTCCGGAGCAAGTTGGCATCTCTGATAGATTTATGATTTTGGTACATTTAGCCGGATGCCTATGTTTGTTGTCCCCTTTTCTATAGGTCACTGTTCTCTAGAATGATAAATTATAAAGATTTTAGCAATTAAATTTGCTCTAACTTCCTTGTATGACCTTTCATTGGTTAGATTACAACATTTAAAATCTAAAAAAATAATATAATTTATGTACCAATGCTGAGGGTTCCATATTTTCTTTTTAAGTAATTAATTGAATCCATAAGATACAAAATAATATATTGTAATAATATATAATATCTTTTACACATAATAAACTTACTAGAACAAGAGCTTGTAGTGAGTGACTTTGTAGTAAATGACGCAAAAATATGACATCTGCTTCTCTGCCATCAACTTTCTCACAAATTTTGTCTAAAGAAACCAGCAACCTCTCGATATCTAAGTAACAGAACAGTTATATTAGTTTAAATTAGATATTACCCCTAATAGACAATTCTTACAATAATTTCAAAAAACTTAGTCCTCTAATTTTTTGACAGCTAATTTGTTTCTTGCCATTTTCTCTAACTGTAGGAATTTGAGGATTAACACAATTCTTACAATAATTTCAAAAAACTATTAGGCCTCTAGTTTTTTGACCAGCTAATTTGTTTCTAGCCATTTCATTCAATGGTAGGGATTAGAGGATTAACACAATTTTTACAATAATTTAAAAAAACTATTAGACCTCTAGTTTTTTTACCAGCTAATTTGTTTCTTCCCATTTCATTCAATGGTAGGGATTACAGGATTAACACTTTAAATATTTGACCATCTCTTTACTATGCAACAATTATAATAAAAATAACAAAATTTGTTTATCTTTTAGATATATCGTTTTAGAAATTCTTAACATGTTTCACATAAAACTGATTAAAAAACATCAGTCTGTACCAAAATTATTCTACATTCTTAAGGATATGTATCTAAATAAGGGATGATTCCCTCTGTATTAGTGTTCACGCCAAAACTACGTCTGTGAGATACGAAAAAAAGAATCACAGAAGGGGACCATCTCAAAGGGCATAATGCATAGCAACCCATGGGCAAACCTCTTTCAATATTTTTTCAATTTTTGTAAATTTAAAATCTTTTTAGCAGTATGGCGATTGCGGTTGAGGTGATATTTCCATATTGTGATCTGATGTGCCAACTACAATCGCCAAGGTGCCAATAGATTTTAAACTTAAAAATTTTTTTTCATAAAAAAAAACTACATATAAATGTTTGCCCAGGGGTGGCTACGAGTTATACCTTTCGAGTTGATCACTTTCTGTGATTTTTTCTTCTTTTTTTAGTTTATTGCGTGTCACTGCTCGGAAGTTAACAAGATTTAGTGATTCTTCTGCCACAGATCACGAGACAGACGGAAAACTCACGTAGGTGGCGTGAATAGGTATCAATGAAGAAATATCTCCGCAAATATATGCATATGAATTAATAGTGAGTACAAGAACTAGCTAGAGGCTCATCTAAGAATGAAAAAAAAAATAATAATAATTACATTTATTGCTGCATTTTTTGCAAAAATGTTCACTATCCAGAATATTTCATTCACATAGAATGAATATTACGAAATTCTTTCAAAATCCGCACCAAAAAGCAGTTTTAAACACACAAGAATTCATTATACATCACCTTTATCATAGATATGGATGTTGCTTTCAGTTCCAATAACCATTTCAAATAGTTTAGATAATCATCATCCCATCTTTAAGAAAATGTTGAACCTATGGAAAGAAATATCAATGAATATGACTTAAATAAAAGTTATTAATGACAATAACATTTATAATGAGACTAAACAATTTTTATAAACGAACATTACTACCGGCTCAGTAAAGTTTTTGCATTATTTTTACATTAATTATTGATCTATAATGAAATCAAGTAGTTTTTTCTTAAGAAAACTATTTTAAATAAGGTATACTTTCAATAATTTGAAATTATATATGTCTAATAAAACTCTTACGTTAAATTTTGACATGAAGGAGATTAAGAAAAAGATCTTTGGCTTCGGCGCAAACACAACAAAACAGACGCTTCGTTTCTATGAGATTATGAAACCAGAAGTAAAATTTAATTCAATTTTTTTTAAAAAATCAAATATATATAAGCTTATAATAGTTTATAAATCATAATAAATAATAAATTAAAAGAAAATAACTCTGTTTTCTACTTAGGAACTTTGCTGAATTGATTTTTTTCTAAATATTTTTTATTATCAAGCACAGATCTTTTACTACTCAACGCGGAAACTGTCAATTTAATTCTGCCATGTTGATTGTTTGGGTTTTGACAGTTTAATTTCGGCCACCTGTGAAAATTTCTTATTTTACTAATGATTCATTCTTTAATTAAATGAAATTGATATATATCTTGCTTCTTTTGTACCATTCCACGTTATTTGATCTCTTCTATCATAAAAATGTTTAAATTTGGCAGTAAAAAAGATATAAACATTGATTATAAATGTACTATAAGATTATTGGATGATACAGAAGTTTTGCAGTGTGATTTTCAGGTAATTTTATTCTCTAATTTCGATAATATACAATTTTTAAAAATTGTATTCAAATTCTGAGTGTGCAATGTTTTTTTTTTAATCAATTTTAACAAATGGGGAGTTGCTAGAATATCTATTAAATGGATACCGAACTAATGAGTTAGTTGTTTATAATATCATAAGAGATTTATGAATTTAAAAATTATTTTTTCCATCTAGTCTCTATTTAAAAGCTCTGCATTAAGGATTCTAATGCGTAATTTTTATTAACTCTATATTTCTTAATGCAGTTAAAATGTCTTATTTAGAGCAGTTTTTTTGCTCATTACAACCGAGTACTTGTAAAAAAATTGACTCGAAATAAAATCATAATAGTTCATTCATACTTGCTTATATAAATAACCAAAGCGCTAACTTAAATTGTTTTAAATTTTGTAAAGTATAAAAGATGTTAGTTCATTTGTTTTATTGTTTCTTTGTTGTGTTATTGTGCTTCGAATAAGACTCATGACTTGAAAATCACCATAGAAATTATATTATAAAATCACCGGTTAAAAGGAAATCTTTTGACCGGAAAAACACCAAAAATGTGATTCATGGAGATTTCCGTTTCGTGATTTGTGGCAGAAGAATTGCCAAATCTTGGCAACTTCCGGGCAATGACCTGCGATGAACTAAATTTTTTTAAAAAAAACATCACCGGAAGGGGCCAACTCAAAAGGTATGACTTGTAGCCCCCCCGCCCCCAGTAAACATTTACATGTTTGTTTTTTAAATTTGGCAGTTGTAGTTGATGTGACAGATTAGGATACAGAAATATCCCCTGTAATTCTATAATATATCCAATAATGTAAAATGCAAATGAAATTCCATGTTATGTATTCCCTTGTTAAAACTGGGGTTTATTCGTTAAAAGCGATCTATTCTCCAATAGACATTAGACCTTTCTTCTATCAAGCAAATTCCACTGTCGAGGAAGTGGAGACTGTGTAGGAAAATTCTAAATATGTTTTTAATCCTCTTTATTTAATTTTTGCAAATAAACTGATGATAGATATTTTACAATGCATATAAAATACAAGGCTGCTAGTTTGCTGTATAGCTTTTATAAGCTAGTTTGACTGTATAGTTTTTTTTGTTTTGTTAGAGGGTTGAATTCAGTGCACCTTGAATTTATAAATTTTGTACTATTTTGCTGAAATCAGTGTTGTGTTTATGATGTTTGAAAGCAAAATTACAATTTTGCTTGCTAATTTCCATCAATACTAAATGTTTTAATGTGTTTAGGGAAAGATTTCCATATCGGTATCTGCATCAAAACAAACGCAAGATGAAAATTGGCAAAATTAAGAAGGACATCCATTTATAAATTTTTACCTTTTTTTTTGTTGCAAATCCTAGAATTTATTATCATTTATAGCTTAAATGTGATGTTTCATTAAAACTTAGGTTATATGTATGATTAAGTAAGAATAGTTTTATAAAGTGGCATAAAATAGATTTACTTTGAAATGTTTCTTCAAGGATTTATGCAACAATCAGAAAGGGAAAACCACAGAAAAACACAAACAACCAATATAGCATTCATTTTTTAAACTGTAGATAATCCTTCATCCTTAAAGTCATGTTAATAAAATATATATATATATATAGGGTATGTAAATGGGTGGTTGAATAAAAAGTTCTTCGCCAAAAAAAAAAATGATATTATAAAACGATAAATACATACAAAATCAGCGAAGTTAACGAGGATAGTAATCTCCATTCAAATCAACAATGGTCTGCTAGCGTTTTGGTAATTTTTCAATCCTTTCTGTGCAGAACTGTGGCTTGCACAAGTCCAGAAAGCTATCAACCTCATTTATGACCTCATCATTTGAATGGAAGATTGTGCCATCAAGATGCAGGAGCAGATGTAAAAACAGACAGCGATTCAAAGGCGCCATGTCTGGGCTGTATGGTGGATGTTGCATCCAATCCAACTCCAGCGTGTGGAGCGTCCAGCCGGTCATCGCACTACAATGTGGCTGGGCGTTATCTTGATGAAAGAGAATCACATTCCTTCTGAACTCGTATTTTCGTTTTTCGCAAATGGCGTCGCTAACTTTAATTAGCATATTGCTGTATATTGTACTGTTGATAGCCTGCCAGCTTTTCAGGTAATCCTTATAGATAATTCCACGACAATCCCTCCAGATACAGAGAATTGCCTTGTTAGTTAGCGTTCGTCTTGCAACTGAACCTGCTGATTCCTCGGGTGCTGACCACTCTCTTTTACGGCTTGTATTGTACACCGATTTTTCATCACAGGTCACAATTCTGTCCAGAATGTTCTATTTTCTTTGATCTCTGACCAGAGCCATACAGGCCGCTTTTCTTTTGTTTTTGTCTTCAGTAGTCAATTCATGAGGCACCCAGTGGTTAAACCTAAACGTTAGATTTATGTATTGAGAGCATTAACTGTTGTTTTTTTTGGCAAATGTCAAGCTCTAACACAGTAGTTCAATGATTTGCTTTTACTGGACACAATCAACCTCAGTAGGGCGGAGAGAGCGTGGTTCATCTTCAATATCGAAATCTCCAGCTTTTAACTTTCGAAACCTAACTTTTACTGTATCATAAGAAACAGTATTGAAACCTAGAATTTCACAAAATTTTTGGTGGCATTCAGTCGCATTTGGTTTTTTTCGGAAATCATAGTTCATAATCGTTCTGAACTGTTGACGTGATAGTTCCATTTTAAACACTTTTTTTAGTGCACAAGATAATAAAGTTTTGACAAACAAATTACCGAGTTGTGTAGTTCCAACTTTCAGCTTTAGAATGCTAAACCCTCTTGGGTGAAAGGTTAACACTACCACGGGAATGGCTGATGTTGGCACAAAGGTATCTCCCCTTGGCGGAAAACTTTTTACTCAACCTGATATATATATATAATTCAAATATATATATAGTTCAAATATAAAATGAGTTTAATCCTACACTTCATTGTTTTATATTAGCTTTTTAGGTTTGGTAAGCATTATATATTTTATTTATTTTTATCATAGAGTGAACAAAAAGGACAGTTTCTTTTGGACTATTCATGCAATGCCTTGAATTTGTTAGAAAAAGATTATTTTGGATTGAGATATGTTGATGCACAAAAGCAACGGGTAAAAAAATTCTTTTGATTACTTTGTTTCGATCTTTTTTATCTTGCTGATACCTTACACAAATTTTGCTTGATTATAATTTGAATTTGATATTTATATTTTGAATCCTAAATTACATGCAATATATTTTTATTTAAGAGAATAGTTTTATTTTTGCAGTGAGATAATAAACTATTTATTTAATGTGTTACGTTAATTTTTTTTTGAATTTGTATTTTAGCAATGGTTGGATTTGACAAAATCTATCATCAAGCAAGTCAAAGGTATGGATGACAAGTTCTATGATTGCTTAAATCCTTATAAACAAATGTGTAGTATAGATTTTTATATTTTAATGACATAATTTTTTATCTTTTTTATTTTAAAAGTAGAATATATATTAAACATGGTATGAGTTGTGTTATTAAAAACAAAAAATTTAAATTAGAGTTATTCTCTCTTTAAATATATAAGTTTGAATTTAGGAATTTTGTTTTATGTTGATTGTTTATTAATTTAATGTAAAATGTGATTTTTAAAGGGAAAAAAAATTCTTTATTATTAAGAAATAGAAGTTAATAAATACCCATGCTATATTATAAGTTATAAAATAATTGTTATTTTGTATTTTTATAGATTTATATTCATATTATTCTTTAATTTTAGGCATGAACCCTATCATATTTTGCTTCAGGGTTAAGTTTTATCCTCAAGAGCCATATCGCCTGAAAGAAGAATTGACCAGGTATTTTACTTATTATTTGCCAATATTTTAGTCATTTATATATTATCTTTGTTTCAGAATTTGTTTATTAATGTTGTTTGTTTTTTAAAGAAAATTTCCTATTTTAATGTTGCTGTGTTTATTTCTCTAGGTATCAAATATTTTTGCAACTTAGAAGAGATCTCCTTCATGGCCGTTTATATTGCTCACAGAGTGATGCTGCAATGCTTGCTGCTTATATTATACAATGTATGTATGCAATTTCATCACATTTTGACATACAGTAGAGAACCAAATATCCAGAATGCTTGCTATCCTGTATGTCTGAATTTCTCGATTTCCTGTATCTCTAGAAAACGTCGCTTATCAGTGTTTTACTGAACCCAAATTACAATCAAAAAGAGTCACACATTTTAAAAAAAAGAAAAGAGTTCGCCTAAGCTTTAAAAAAAAATATATTTAAAAAAAAACTGAAACATTTCCAAGTTTAGACAAGAAAAACAAGTTTAAAAAAACAGGTGAATTTCATCTACTGTTGCCTATGTAGTTGCCAGCAGATCTTTATAATGCAGCCTTGTTTCGTCAACATTGAAAATTTGGTCTAAGGGTAAGTTCTGAGTTCGAACTAGATTCAGCACATAATTTTCTGTGACTTCTGTATCGTCTGAGGCTTTTTCACTTCACAACTTTGTCAATCGAGTTTCTTTGTTTATATCAGGCAAACCATCCTATGCTGTACTCGCAGTTTTTTCATAACCCAAGCTCATTGTGAAAATGTTTCGCTTGAGCCAGTATTATCTATCTTGTTAATAGGTAGTTTTCTGATCTTCTTTGTTTAATCCACTCCATTAAAACATTGTCGACAATCTCATTTTTAGCCTGATGCAAAGTCTTAAGATTTTTCATGGCATCTTCAGGCTCACAATTTGATTTTTTGATTATTTTTTTTTTGAAGATCGTAAATTGTTTGAGTCCCTATGTTATATATTTTAATTAGAGCTTTTGCAAAAGAACCTTCATCCAACTTCTTTAAAATTTTGACATTTGTTTTTATAGGTAAACTCACTTGTTTTCTTTTTTTAGACACTAAATTAGAATTTGCTGAGGAATTTTTTTTTGTAAAGATCAAAAAGTACACAACATGTGCTAGTGAACTCTATAGTTGGGATAAATTCTTAACATGCTAAAAAAGATTTTAATTTTTCACCTAATACGTTTTAACTAATCCTAGCACAAGTAAATGATGGATGGTCTACTAATATCTGAGGTTTAAAAGATAAGAGAGAAGGGAGTGAAACTGAAGTGAAATGAATGAAACTGCATGTAAAATATGTGCTGTAGGTCAAGATCATGATGTGAAACTATTCTTTCAAACAGTAACTGGGTGCGTAGCGTTTTTAAAAAGTGATTAAAGGTGCTTATTCTCAATTTTTGTATTTTAAAAGCCCTCAAAGGTGCTTCTTCCATTGGATGCTTTTAAAAAATGCTTAATTTTCCCTATTCCAAAATGAGATTTTTCCTTTACCATGTTGATTTTTGCTACGAATTATGCAAAAATACACAGTTCACATTGATCTATTCAACGTTTTCACAATTAATTCAACCCCAATCTATTTCGGCGTATTGTCAGTCTGTAGCGTATGAAAACACCATTCATTTTACATTATTCAAAATTTCATAATTTTTAAAAACAAAGCCAATTTTTATTAATTTTTTCTTTTTTTGAGGTATGACGGTTAACACCAGATAAAACCGTAAGTTGTTAAAAACTTTACTGCTCTGAATAAGTATGATATTTTTTTAAAGTTCTTAAAAATATTTTTTGAGTGCTTGAAAAGTCCTTAAAAGATGCTTATTTTTTGTTGAAAAATACACACCGAGTTAAGACGAGTTATCTGTGTAAAATTTTCCCCAGTTTTCTAGATAGTCGATAAATGGTTCTGTACTGTATTTGAATATTATAATAAGTGTTTAACTTAGCATGAGGCATGTAGGAATATTACTGAATTAAAATTTTAGAAATTAGCCACGAAATTTAACCTTAAAATAAATATAGAAAAAAATATATGGTGGCCTCTTAAGATAAGACAATACTACTCTGAAGTTAATACCTATAAATTTGAAATAGTACAAAACTTCAGTTACCTAGGTTCTATGATGAGCTTTGATATTAACATGAAAATTGAAATTAAAAAACAAATACTATCAATAAACAGGTATTTAAATGACTTTAGATCATTTCTTAGATCAACATACATAAGAAATACAAAACTACTGTTTAAAACTATTCGAGGTCCAGTCTTGACCTATGCATCTGAAACTTGAACTTTTTGAAAGAAGTATCTGTTTGCCAAACTCTATCTATTTTCTACCCACTTGCTTTTCTTGGGGGAAAAAAGCAAGTGACTAGGAAATAGAAACATCTAACTATTTTTGGCAGAGTTGAAGAAGATGATTTTTGCAGAAAAAGTACAAATATGGAGCTTTACAAAATTTGAAGGACATTGATGCAATAAAATTAAACAGAATGTGGTTTGCAAAGCAAATTTGCCGATTAAATGCAACTAGATTAATACACAAGATTTTCCAACACGAGTAGTAGAGTTTGAGGATGTTTTAAACTTCGATGGGTGAACTTCATCAACATGGATTTTAAAACAAAGTAATAAACTTGCAAGTCTTGGGCAATGTAGAGAACAAAATGAAGAGATATTCTTGAGAAAGCCAGAACCCACCCAAGGTTGCCATGCCAATGATGATAAATAATGACTAAATTCCTTACTACATTAAGTATCTGAGTCTAGTTTTCTCTTCCAAGTGCATTTTATAACAGAATTTGGTGAAGTTTTGCACATGACTATGAAGACAAGTTGGAGCTTTGTTTTTGAGGAACAAGCGGGTATTCTTAAAATTAAACCTGTTCAAGCCAAAAATCGCTAGAAATTGTCTGTGTCCGAGCCCATCCAATAACTTTAAAGAAAAAGTTTATGAGTGTGAAATTTAACTGTTTATTTGTGACTGCTATTTAAATTTAATACAACTGGAGGCTGAATTCCAGAACTTGCAAATAAGAGGACCACATAAAAAACAAGCAAACCTGAGATGAAAATGCTTAGTATGAGTTTTCACGTAAGACGAACGAAACAGTTTCACTGTCACATTATCTTGGAAGACAATTGCATTGCTTAATAAGAACAAAAGCTAACTTCTACCTTTCTAGCAGAAAATAAATATTGCACCGAATGAAAGCAAATTCTTCATCGTGATCTTTGCAGCACACTTACTTTTTGAAACAAGTTGATAGCTTTTCTAGAACAAATTACCAATGACGTTTTACAAATTATATTATCAGAAAAATGGACCTTTAACAAAATGTTTTGTTTTAAAAATTTATTCTTTACATGCTTTATCTCAAAAATGGATCCTTCACAAAATTCTTTCTTTGTAAAACAAAGTCATTAGGAACATTTATTCATTATTTTAAAACTAACACTCTTTAACAGACATGTTTTATTTATTTTTTATCACAAACAATGCTTTATTTTTCATGCATTCACAAAAACAGGACCCTATTTTCCAAAATTTTAAAAAAGAAAATTATTATTTTTATTTTTACTATTTTATAACTAAACAATACCATTTACAGAAAGCCTGGTATAATACCTGCTGAGTAAATTGTTCTGGTATAATGAGCTGTCTGTTTGCACTTCACTTCATTAACGCAAGGTGATTTGATTGATACACCAAAAGTTTTCAAGAAGTTTACTATCACTTATTTTTTTTATTTTACATTGCAGCTGAACTGGGAGATTTTGATTCTGATGAGCATCCGCCTACTTATGTATCTGAATTTAAATTGTTATTGAAACAGACTCAGCGCTTAGAAGAAAAAATAGCAGAAATTCACCAAGGACAGTTAAGGTGTTTATACAAAAAATATTATTTATTATTTTTTAATTGTTAATTAAATTGAATTTATTAATTATTAATATGTTATTAATTATTAATATACTATTAAAGATTTATTTATTAAATTAATAAAATATTATTTATTGTAAATTCAATGACGTATGGAAAATAACTTCATGACATATTTCAACAGGGGACAAGTACCTGCAGTAGCGGAAATGAATTTTTTGCGTAAAGCTTGCTTGTTAGATACGTATGGAGTTGATCCTCACCCAGTGAAAGTAAGAAAAAAATTTATTGGTATATACCTAGTTTTGTTCTTGAACTTATGTTCGATTAAATTGTTCTTTAAAAATCAAATGTAATTGGTTAATTGATAACACTTTATATTACAACTTTTGTTATGCATTGTAGCTCATGAAATATGGAAATTCCTACTTACACAAGTTCAAATTCATGGTATGATCACTGAATTAATGTAAACTAATCACAGAGGAGTTGCTATTTACTCTAAATTTGGTATATATAAACTTACCTAAATGTCAATTAGAGCATTCTTTCATTAAACTCTTATAACTACTAAATACTTTTAACTACTTAAAAGTAACTCTAGTAACTATAAATTAGGTAAACACAAACAAAAACAATTGAGAAATATCTTATGCCTTCTAAACTATGTAGAATTCTGCATTGCAATTTTGTTAGGGTTATAACTGTAGTTATAATGCATGAAGACAATTATTATATAATTTATTTTTGAAATTTATTCTTCTGTGACATTTTTTTCAATAATTTATATAAAATATTTATTGCATAGATTTTAAAATGCATTAGACATTGTATTTTTTAGTAATAAGAAATGATATGATTGCTTGATTAAATTTTTATTTTTTATAGGATCATAAAGCAACGCAGCTATACCTTGGAATAAACTATGCTGGCATTTTAACATTTCAAGGAAGTCGAAAAACACATCATTTTAAATGGTATTTTATGCAATCTTTAAATATTTTGCTGAGATATATATCAATTTAGGTTGATAATCTATAAAAACTTATAGAATTATAATTTTAATGTGAAATTTTTTCTTAACAATTGTTTATAATTACAACCATTCCGTATCATTTTTTTTTCTATAGGCAGCACCCTGCATGTCTACAAACAAATATGTTTCAATTTTTTATAAAGAATTCTAATATATAATTTACTTGTTAAATATATTACATTTTTATTAAGTGCAAAATATCACCAGCTGTTACCTATTTTGTGTATTCAAATATCATAAAACAATTGGGAGTTCATTGTGAAACATTACATGATTTCTATTCTGTTTGAAAATTTATTTTAGTAACAATACTAAAAGTCAATATGAGGTATAAGATGCGTCTCCTTCTATTATAACTTTGATTTTAAAAATCTAAATTGTGTCCCATAATAATTTGATTTTCTGAAGGAAATCCTAACTAAATTATGTGATAAAAAAGAAAAATATAAGAAAAATAAATATATATATATTTTTTTAACATCTAACTATAACTCAAGTTAGATGCTTAATTATAATTTAAAGATTGATTCTAGGCTTTTTTTTTTCATTAGAATAAAATAATTTACTGTAAATAAGTTTAAAAAAATACCCACTTATTTTTATTTTAAAATTTCAGTGTACAATTATTTGTTACTTTCACAGCTCAAGGGATGTGTAGAGCAAAACAAAACATTAAAATGAGAATAAATAAACAGTTTCTATCAATGCAAAATTATTTATACTGTGTTAAAAAACAGTTTTCTCATTACAATTCCAGCTAGAATAAAGTTACCGCTCCTTTGTTTCAATCAATCTGTTAATGGTAATGTAAGTTGTGATAATTTTCTTTTAATTTAAAAAAAATTGTCTATTAAATCAGTTAGGGGTTGGGGACTCTATTAGTTAAATATGATTCTAAAAAAAATTGTCCAGTTTTCTTAATTCTTCAATTTGATGAAGATTATTTTCAAACTCTTAACTCTTATAGTGCATTTTTTTAAATATTGGCTTTATATGAAATTAATATTTCTCAATATATTATGTATACTTCAAGCATTTAATTTTTTATATTTCTTCCATCACAAACTTCTTACATGAATTTTATAATTTTAAAAATTTTATATTGTTAGTTTCTTTACAAAAATATATATATTGAAGGAATTTCTGTATGATAGTTGATTTTATTTCAGACATTCGTACAATCTTTTTATTTTTTCATAGTTTGTTTAAAATATTTTGTTTGTGTTTCATTAGCTTTCAATGTATATCCTCTTGTTTTTATCAATGTTTAAAAAATTGCAAAAAGTTAAAAGAATTTTATTTTTTAAACATTCCAGGCCTGATATACAAAAGATAAATTATGAAGGGAAAATGTTTATTGTTCATCTTCTCTTTAATGAGGTATGTTATATTTAGCTTAAATTTTTTTCTTTTATATATAATCTATAAACCTGGAAAGAAAAGTGTAGATTTCTACAACCATTTTTGTCTTAAAAGGTGTGCTTACTTATTTTAATTATTCCTTATCTTCTCAAATAACATGCATTTGAGCTACCATATTTATTTTAATTGATTATTTTACATGATCTGTTTCTTTAAATATTTACTTTCACAAGATTTAAATTGAAAACAATGATTCCATTGTGTATATGTTATATTCTTTACACTATACACAAATAGGTTTCTTTTTTTAAAATGTTGAAGACTAATGTAGTTTATATTAATAGATTTTTGAGAAAAAATATAGAATTGGAAAATTTTGAGAAAAAATATGTCTCAAAATATTTTTTTGAGGAATCCACGAAAGTAAAGGCATGTTATGCTGTCCATTTTTTGTAGATAAGAAGAAAAGTGAAATCTTAAATTACCCGCCATTTAGAATATAGAGCTTTTATTTGGTTACTTTTGTCGTATTTAACAGGGGTGGTTGTATTCCATGATTTTCGTATCTACCTTCCAGGTCTAGAAACTAGGAGCATGAAATGTGATTTTTCTACGAAATTCGCGTAATCTCAAGACCATTGATTCATCGTGTATCATTCTGCGAATCAAAACTTATAATCCAACAAAATTTTCGCCCCAATCTGAAATTTAAATTTTGAAATTTTCGCTAAATCTCGATAATGAGACATTTTCATGTGTGTGATTTTTTTTGGTTTGTTAGATTTTTGTTAATTGTAATATTTGAAACTACGCAGACATCCACTAATATCGTGATTCATATTCTCACAATTTTAATATCAAACATTAATTTTTATATTTACCTAAGTTATAAATTAAAAATTGTGAATCGTATTTAAAAATCCAATATCGGAATTTGTATTTACATGTTTTTAAAGTCAATATCGTGGTTCGTTTTCACACAAATTTTAAGTCCAATGTTGCGATTTTTTTATTTATAAGTGATTTAAAAGTCACACATTGTGATTCGTATTCCCACAATCTAAAAATCATGAATCTCGATTCCTATTTACGTGATACAAAATCCAATATTGTAATTCACGCAAGAGCTAAGTTTTTTCTTAAATTAGTTGCTGTGAAAGTGTAATATTTTTAATTGATAGGTAATTTAATTGTAAATCATAGTTCCAAAAATTATATTAAGCATGCATAGTGTATAAACTGATGTCTTGTCATAGAATTTTACATATTAAATTTTCAGGGTTTTTCATACTACCTCCCCTGATTTAAATTGCATCTTGCTTGTTATCATCATAATTGTATTGTACTATGTTTAAAATTTTGTCTAAAATTGACAAATGAATCATAACTACGTTTTGTGAAAGGTTGTATTTATTCTAAAAATTATTTGGTTTAAATATCAGTGACTAGTTTTTAGGGCTACTATTTGAGTTCTTTTTTTAAATTTTTTTTTATTAGTAATTATATTTTGTTATTTCTAATTTTTTTCTTCACCTTTTTTGTTACAGGATGCTAGGACAAAGGTAAGCAAACCTTTTACTTTTTACTATTATTTTTCTTTCTTATTAAGTTAATTCTGTAGAGTGATATTTAAATATAATCTTTATAACTTATCTTTCATTTCTCGTATAATTTAGAAAAAACATCTTGTGGGATTCAAGTGTCCATCTCAAGGTGCATGCCATTACCTTTGGAAGTGTGCTGTTGAACAAAGATATTTTTTTACGTAAGTATTGGCACATTAGGAAAGTTTGCTGTTCAGTAAACTCTCGATAATTTATCATAAAAATATGTAGTGTGACAATCGATAGTGAGTAATTTTAACAAAATCTCAATGCAATTTTTTGTTTTTAAAGCACTTCTCCTAGTTTGTAATTATATTTTTAAAGCATTTTGTTAATACAAAAAAAAGTAATCTCCTAAACTAAGAAAAGAACTGCATGATATATAATTTGGTATAACAGGGTGCGGAGTGCTTTTAAAAAGTGCTTAAAGGTGCTTATTTTTGTTTCTTAAAAAACACTTAAAGGTGCTTTTTTCATTGGGTGTTTGTGAAAAGTGCTTAATTTTCCCTTTTCCAAAATGAGATGTTTTTTCTTTGCCATGTTGATTTTCACCACATATTATGCAAAAAGATATTGTTTACATTGTAAGAACAGTTTTAAATTTTGGTCTTATTCATACGAAACTGAAAAATAAACTTATAGTAGAGAGGTTTCAAAACTACTTTTTTGTAATCACTTGCTTTGGGGAAAAGAGGAATTAAAATGGAAGTAAATGAAAACTGATTTTACGTATAAAGAATAAGATGATTGTTAAATGTTTTTTTATAAGATAATTATTTTTGTATTTTTATTTTCAATAATTAAACAAATTAAGGAACTGGATAAATTGCAATTTGACACATTTTTATTCATAATTGTTTACTATTTCCTACACCAAAATTCATGTTTTTGACAGTAATTTTCGAAACAAAGAGATTTATGTTAAAATAATTCAAGAACATAATTGGTGGAATGCTTGTAATTTTACATATATGTTAATTTGAAATTACTTAGTATTCATAATAGCTAATAATTATCCTTCGACCAAAATTTTGGGTTTTTGACAATTTTCAAAAACTATGTCAAAAGTTGTTTTCGACATGACTGTTAAAACCGTATAAAATCATCAATTGTCAAAATTTTCCAGCCTTGCCTAGTTATGATATTTTTTGAAGTGCTTAAAAATATTTTCTCAGTGCTTAAAAGGTGCTTATATTTTTTTTTAAAAATTTGGCCATGTGCACTGTATAATTTGAAGTATGATGACTCGAATATTACTGTAACTTTATTTTTCGTAATGTCCCTACCCTATTATTTCTAGTTTTATGTCAATAGTTCTCGATTAATCAGATTTTTGATATCTTAAACACCATTTTTATTCTTTTTTAAGTTGACTAAATTTTTTATAGCTGAAAATAGATAAAAAAATATTTGAATAAATCAAAACCAATCGCAACATAGGTAAGAACTGTTTGCTCCTTTTCTCGCTTTTAAAAATTCTGTAGAAGAATTGTTTAGCGCTAAAGATGAAAGCAGAAGTTGAAACTCTCAATATAGAAGATAAAATCAGTCTTATTAATAATGTGGACAAGAATTCAACTGTGAAGAAGAAAAATACTCTTTTGAAAAAATTCTTATATTTGAATGTTTAGAATTTAAACCAGTAGTTAGTCAAACTTCTGATAAATCAAAACGTTCAAGCAGTCCTAACAGATTCAAATTATCACAAATTGAATTTATGAAGTATATGGTATAATTTCTGTGGGAAGGCAAAAAAATATTGTTTTAGCCAAATCTTGAACTAGTAAGACAGTATATTGATAGTATTTTAAATTGTAAAATTTTGCATGCATGAGGTTGTGGAAAATCTGTATATTTTCAAAAGTTGACTTTAGTTTTTAATTTTGATATCTTCAGTCGTGCTTTTACTTTAGATTAATAGCATGTGAAATATGTTATCAAAAGTTTACTGTAGTTTCTAATATAATATCTACGACTGTCAGTTGTACCTTCTCATTAATGGACTTTAAATTTATAGCATGGAATCCTCAAATGATGTTCCACAAGTTACAACCAGTGGAGGACTTTTTTCCAGAGGATGTAAATTTAGATACAGGTACTTTTTTCACAAGCTTGTAAAAAAGAAAAAAAGGTTTTATTTTTAAAATTTTTGATGTTATGAGACTATTATGAAGGATTATTATTTGTTTTGCATTAAAAAAATATTCATATTTTTCTTATCATATTGGGATGAATCAAATTTAACCAAATTAATTTTAAACAAAATAAGACATTTGAGACCACATAACTAAAAAATAATTTGTCATAGAAAACTTCACAATGTTTAACCTTTTAGATAAGGTTCCTAGTATGCTAACATCTGTTATTTTGGTACTCCATTTGTACCATCCAATCAGAAAGTTCAAATGTCAGGAAAAATATGTAGGTATTTAGCATCTGTATATTGTATTATATTATTCTTCAATATCAGGCTTGAATAGGACTCGGTGCTGTACGAAATTTTGTGTCATAATATATCCTTTGGGAGATATTGTATCCTGATAAAACATATGTTCGAATATTGTCTTTTTTAATCATAACTGCACAATCAGAAATTTCTAATCTAAAATAAATAAAAGAATTAAAGGACAAAAGAAAATGTTAACTATATAACATCAATAAATATTTTATGTCGATAAATATTGCATGTTCTTTTATAAAATCAATAATATTACGTAATTTTTTTAATTAAAATAATAGGGATGGAATGACTTGAGATCAAATTCTAAAAGTGAAAACAAGTGTAAGCTTTGTTTTGATTTTTAATTAAAGACAAATTAAGATTCAATGGTTTAAAAATAACTGTAAAATTCTACCAAAATATTTTTACCTGATATAAATATTTTAAAATTTTATTGTAGGAAATGTTTAAGAAAATAAAAAAGGCTAATAAAAAAACAAAAGTAATTATACACTTGAGTAAAACAAATTTTAAATTATTTGGGGAGAAAATGTGCTTTTGAAGCAGTGCAATCCCATTTTTTTATTCATTGAAAATAATGCAGTTGTATTGACTGAAGGCTGAATTATATACACAATAAAAATAAATTTCAGATCTGTTTTATTTATTTATTACTTTTTTTCAAATAAAATCAACTTAAGATTTAATAGTTTAAAAAAATTCTTAATTTCTAACAAGATATTTAATTAACATGTATTAACTTCACACCATAAGTACTTTTGAACAAATGAGGTTTTCCATTGACAAGTGCTTTGAGCACGTAAAACATATGAATTTAGAACAATATTAATTCCACAAACTTCAGAGGACAATGGAAAGTAGATCAAGAGGTGGAAGATTAGCCAAAATTTTGTTATGACTGAGCTATCACGATTAAATATACAAAACTAAGTTTATCTCTAGTGTATCTCTCTTATTCATGCGAATGCTGAATGGTTTATGACAAAATAATTTGTTCTTGTGGTATTAATTTTCTTAGTTAATGCTTGTAAATTATAGAGTGTTCTATTTATTCTGTTTCTTGTTTATTTTTAGTGGAAGAGTTGAAAAAGAAATAGCTGAAGATACCAAACAGATTTTAAGAGAACAGCCTCAATTCCAGCGTTCTTTAACTAGACCTTCATCTTTCAGAAAATTCATTGATGGATACTCAAATTCACCTTCTTCATCACCCCAAAAAGATCATCTTATGAATGGTATGTCACTTTTTTCTCTAAGAATAATTTTTGCGTTATTATGTTTATTTGCTGAAAAAAATACTATTTTTATTTGTCCCTTCTCTTGCTAAAAAGAATTTAGTTACATTACATTGTAACCTTTGCCGTGATGTATTGAAAATGAAATTTTGCTTATTTTCATATTGTGAACCAAAAATTGCAAGAATCTTCCGATCTATTTAAGACATTTTTGTTTGGACCTACTGCTTTAGGAGGGAAAAAAAATTTTTATTGTCACACTCTGAAAATGTCTTATATCAAATTTTGCTCTGAGAAAATGTCTGTTCAACATTGTTTTTTGTATAGAACATGTGTATTTTATGTATGCAACAATGTTTTCGGGAAAAAATTTTAACAACTAAATTTAATTTTCTTTTAAAATCAATCAATCAACAATAAAATCAAGATCAACTCTTTTTTATTTATTTGTCTAACACTTCCCAGATAAGCTAGTACCCACCTATCTAGATGGGTTTCAACAAGCCATTGAAAATCGAACATGATTCCCTCACAGTTACAGCTAAGTGCCTTTAACCACTGAGCCATTGCAAATCTTCATAATTGGTAAAAATCCTTTGCCGGCTTCTTGTGGCCTGCACCTTGTCTACCTAAAATATCTCTAAAATATTTTTTTAGGGTAATTAAACCGATTCTCTTTTACCAAAATGCAAACAGCACCAATTTTCAGCTGAACTATGTTTCGGTTGTCTTCTAGGAAGAATTTTATTCATCTCATCAAAATACTTTCTAAATGATTCAGAGATCTGATCTAGCACTATCAGACTTGGTTAGACATTAAAAATAGCAACACATGTTTTAAAATTTGCACCATTAGATGCTAATTATATGAAACGTTTCTTTGTTCGCTCCACAGCTGAGCTGAAAGCCCTTGTAACTAAAATAGACTAAAATTATGTAATTTTTATATTGTTTATAATTTCTTTTAAAATTTTATTTTCGATATATATTGAGACCTTATAAGTCTTAGTTATCTAGATTGTAGTGATAAGTTTGCAGGAATTGAAGAAAGAAAAAACTGAAAACTTTGAAATTAACCTTTAATGCTATCTGGGTGTCATCAGTTCTGATTTCATACTGCTTAAAGTATGTAGCCTGCCTGTTGAGGACTAATGCACACTCCCAAGAAATTCGAAACACTAATTCAAAAGTGTTTTATCTTTTATCTCTCTATATTGATGTTTTTGAAGGTCTGTCATCAAGGTAAATAAAAGGTATAGTTTAAGTGTCTTACACTTACACTACACAACAATCATTTCATTTATTCTTTATATTAAAAGGAAATTTTGTAATGAATTTTGTCCTTAGAAAACTTACCAAAATCTTTAATCTGTATTTTATGTTATTGCAATGTATCTAGTTATGTATGCTTTCTTCTATTGATATTTCCAAATAGTTGCCATCATTTCCATCTTTTTATCTTAAACATAAATATTTTGGTGCAATTGAATGATAAGCCATATTTTCAAAATGTTTAAGAGAGCATTTTTATTGAAAAATACCATGATTTACATACCTATTTTATGTAAAGTAGCTATTTCAGGGTTGCCACAGGTGACTAAAATGCAACTATTTTTAGCATCACGCGACTATGGCAACTTTTTTTACCTGAAAAGGCTAAAAAAAAAAAGCAACTATTTTCAAGAAAAGGGGACTGTTGGGAGACTTTTCTGTACTCCTAACTATTTCTTTTTTTTATAGCTGCATAAATTTGGTGGAAAATCTACACCCCACAAGGTAGTTTCTGAACACACTAAACTTTTTTTTCTTCTTAAAAATAAAAAAATGTGAAAATTTTGAATTGCAAATTTAAATCTTCACTTTTTAATTCGATCAATCTGCACAGATTCCTTGTAAGTCTATTTAATTTCTCGATCGCCTTTTCGATGATTATTGCTACAAAATTCCGCATGATTTTTAAAAAAAAAAACATTTTTTAATATGATATTACGATGTGTAAATTTCGAATTTGAGTGATCGCTTTTCAAAAATATATATAAACATTAACGTTTATATAAAAATTATCGTATTTGCCACCAACTTGACTGAATGGATCATGGTATATGACAATTAAGTCATTAAAAAAACTTAGTCATATTTTTGATGAATTTTTGTTCTTATTTTGGCAACTATTTTCCTAGTTTTTGACTACTATTTTCATGCTTTAGACTACTAAAAGCAACTATTTTGTTCATTTTTTTGTGTGGCAACCTTGTATTTGGAAACAATAATAATAATCAGTTTGTTATATTAACATCACCTTTGAAAAATATGTGCCTTATCATTATGTTGACCACGCCAGTCTTAGAATTGTAGGTATTAACAATTGTTTTAACAATTTTTTTTTCATTGCACAGACTACAATAACATGCTGTATTCAAATCACACCACAAGTATTACACATGCCTCTCTCAATGATCAAGAAAACTTGCAGATGAATCATAATTTGAATTCACCACCTCAATCTAATAATCCAACTGATGGCTTGGATGTCCTCGAAGAAGAATGTGATTCTTACAGCCCAACAGATACCATACTGTCAGAATCACCATCGTTCAGCAGCAATCAGGTGTCATGCAATAATTCTTTAACGTGTCAGAATTCTGAAGAAGGACTCAGAGACGACTCTGACACCACGGAGGACATAGCAGATGCTGCTGATATCATGCATAGTTCTTACCAAGCTCCAGTGTTCAGACAAACTGAAGAAACTGTGCCCCTTGATGTCAAAATACCAAAAAGGAAAACTCCCATGGCACAATCTACTGCTCTTCCATTACATGTCAATGTCATGCGTGTCATCGTTTTATCTTGTTTGTTTGTTTTGCTTTTACTCTCGTGCCTTTTAATTGTCGTCATGGAATCAGACTCTTCTCTTTTCAGTGATATTCGTAAGCTCCCAGAGATGATTATTTTGCGGAGGGAGTATTACGAACCTGCGAAAGACTATATTGCGGAACACATGAATTTTTTGACCAAAAGATAAAGCTTTTCAAGTGTATTTGTATTGTCTGTCTTATTCATCATGAAAAAAGAACAAAATTAAAGTCTTTCCAGTTTATACAAAGCAGCTTCGCGTAATGTTATTGTCTTGTTAATGGCTTTTTTTTCTCTTTGGAAACTCTTTATGCCATTTTTTAAAATAAAATTTTGCTTTATAGTATTTTAAATTCAATTCATTGAAGAAAAAATTCTTTATTCTAATGAATAGTTGTAATGAATTTTTATTTTATTATTATTATATATATATATATATATATATANTATATATATAGTGAGTGAGACAGTTTTCAATGAACTTTCTTAGCTTCTACTGCTTTTTAAAGTTAAAATTATTAACTTATTTAAATATGAAATATCTACTTATCTTTTTATATGAGGGCTTAAAAAGTAGAGCTACTTATTAGTTTTATTTATGAAAGAAAAAAATAATGCACATTATAATATGCTTACACTTTTGTTTTCTATGAACTACTTATAAAATATTATAATGTAAATTATAATTATTTTCACTTTACAAACTTCTGAATCTAAAAAGAATTATATTAGTATACTATATTACTTAATATATTTTTTATTTTCATCTATTGACTTATTTTCTTTGTTTTGCTTCCAAAATCACTTTTGTTGATAAATCAAATGTGATTTTTTACTTTTTATGCTTTTCTTTTAATTGAAAAAATTGTGAGTTTATATAGCTTTCTTCGGACCAATTAATCAAAATTTTATCTTTTTTAAGGTATAAGTTTATGTGGTGTGTTGGTTTTATATTTCTCTAGTCTACTAATTATTATGATTTTTGTTTCATGTTTCATTCCATGACAGTATAAAAATATTCTTTTTACTTAAATATTACATATTTATATTTTGTATAGATCTATACCATTCCATTTAATTATTTACTTTTACTTTAGAACATTTTATTTGAAAAATATCATTGTTCTAACTTGGCGACATGTTCTAACTCTCCAAATTCTCTAAAATAGTTTCAATTTTTTCTAGTAGAACAACTTAAGAGAGACCAGTTTGTTTTTGTTTGGAGTTCTAGAGGGTGGCCCAAAAATTCACTCAAGATTGGAGGTTTTTTTTATTGCATATGTGTTATAAAATTTTGCCAATAAAACATTAACAGGACAGCTGGCCGATCTTGGTTTTAAAAAATGAAGCACTTCATGAAAGAACGATGGAATTTCATTTTTCAGCAACTATTAATGATCATTCTTTAATTTTTTTTTAATTGGCCTCTTAAATCATTCCATTTGATTTTTTTAAGCCTAATGTTTGTGCCAACAAGCTGCTAACTACTTTTACTTTGTAGGACTAAATCAGCGAAATTAAACCACATTTATGTAAAATGGTCATTTTAGAACTTCAACGAAAAATGAGTTTGTTTCTGCAAATCCATGGAGGCAATTTACCTCTTACGCTATTCTATACATAACCATATAATTCATGCTTGATGCATAAATAAGAGAAAAAATTTTAACTTTTCTTATAAAATTGTGTTTACAATCAAAATTACTTCTTGTTTGAATTTTTGGGTTAGTAGAACTATCAGAGGGATTAAGTAACTTTATTTTTAGTGTAATATTTTCTTCATAAAGATAACAAAAAATATTTCTGGAAGGACTTTGAAAAGTATTATTTTCCAACTTGTTTGATTAAAAAAATATTACTTATTGTATAAAATAATTCTTGTAAATTACTTGTCTATAACTAACAGAAGTTAATTAACATTTCTTGTAATTAATCTTTTCTCTGGATACAGTTATAGCCCTCATCCCCGTGTGGTTGCACTACTGATTGTTATTGTAGTCCAAAAAATACTTTTTCATGATTTAATGTGTATTATCTTGCTTATTTAACTCATTAATTTATTTTATTAACTTTAGAATAATTGGAAATTTAGTCGTTATTTTAAGTATGCAACATTGTTTGCATATATATATATATATATATATGTGTGTGTGTGTGTGCGTGCGTGNGATCTATATGTTTTGAAAAATATATATATCATAATGAATATATATCAATGATTTTTTCCTTTCTTAATCCTCCAAATATAGAGCCCCTGGCCAAAATTGTACCCCCTGTACCTGATCTTTCCCTAACTCTACTTTCTCATTGCATAACATGAAAAAGAAATTTTTTATTTAAGCTACCTGTTGAAAGTTTGGAAAAACCTATGACTATTGCTCAGATGGTTAATTCATGTATGGTTACTTATTGATGCTTTTGTAAATGGTTACATTTCTAAAACTATGCCTGTTATTCCATTTTTTTACTGAATAATGTGAAAGAATTTTGTTTATTCTCCTGTGGTTTGAAAAATTAAATTCTATGTGTAGAATTGTCAGGAGAGAAATATTATGCACAGCTTTAGAATTCTGTATTACCATAGTAGGATAATATCAACAAATATATTTTTTAATATTTTTATATATATTATCTTGTTCAAAGCATTTAGTGTTTCAACATTGCAATTTTTCTTCTTGTTCAATCTTCTATGCTTTTATGCTTCATTTTTAATAACATATCATTGTTACATAAAATGTAGACTTACATGCTATTGATGTTGGTTTTGTATTTATGCAATTAATTAATGTGATTGTAATTTCTTATTAATGTGATTGTATATTTATATTTTATTATATTAACCGTACAATTTTATTGGTGAATATTCTATATATTTTATTAATTTATTTTAATTTAAATTGCTTGTTTTGCATTTAACTTGTTATATAAAATTGGCATGGTACAAAATGTATGAATATTAATGTATTTGTTTCTGCTTATTTACTTGTTAACTGTATAAGGATTACATATATATGTAGTACATTGTAGTTGTTTTGAACAGCAACAGATATTTTCTCATATTTTTATTTAAATTCTCATATTTTTATTATTCTGTATAATACATATTTCAAAGGTTTATGCACCCAGTAATATCTCTAACTAAATTTTAATCCATTAAAATAATATATGTGTTTTTTTTTGTAGCTTATTTTATTTCATTTAAGAGGTGATGTACTTACTAAAAGAAATTTTCTAAAGAATACTTTCTAATTTAAATTTTGAATTTATTCTATTTGTTTTCGAATCTAACCGGAAGTTTAAAAATTATAATTTTTTAAAAATCCAGTATGAAATGCTTGCAAAAATCATATTTAAGGAATTACTTTTTTAAATTGTTAATAAATTAATGTGTTGGTGGTTGTTTCATATTCCACTTGATCCAGTCCTTAGCTAGATTTACTCCAGAAGACCATTTATTCTCAGAAAGTTTTAAATAATGATTTAATAATTATTCGAAGCATTTTAAAATAAGTTTCTAATTTTTTAACTCATGTGTCCTGAACTAATCAAGCTGTGTTCAATAGATTCCTGATAACTCTAACTCAACTTACAAATTAGACATATTAAAAAAACTCTTCCTCAAACGAGAAATTCATACATAAATGGAAAATACAATAACGCATGGTGCGTAGCATTTTTAAAAAGTGCTTAATGGTGTTTATTTTCGTTTTTACCATGTCGATTTTCTCCATGTATAATGCAAAAGCGTGGTTTTCACATTGTTTTGTTCAATGTTTTCACAATTCATTCAACTACAATCCATTTCGGGGTATCGTCGGCCCATAGCGTATGAAAGTGCCAATCATTTAACATGTTTGTTGAAATACTTGCGGGTTCGCATGTGCTGTTAGTGATCTGGGTTCGCTCCTGCACTCTCATGTACAACTCTGCTGCATTTTGCAAGATATTCTCGGTTTCATACTTCATTTTACACCCTCTGAAATCGAACCGAAAAATCTCTTGATCTTTTTATGGTGGCTAATATAATCAGGAAAAGAGTTCTTTGTCAGAAACTAGTTATTTTACCATGATTATATAAAATCTTTTTTTCATATTATTTAAAGTTGGTACAATCTATCACTTATCTTTGAAATATGTAACTTATGCTTGATTGTAATTATTTTTTAACCTCTTAAACAAAATCTTATTTTTGATTTTTTAAATACAAATATAATGTACAAAAATTGTATAAGCTTGAGTACATAACAATATTTTAAGCTTTAAAAAGTTTAAATCTTTCTCTAGTTTGATAATTAGTAATTATAGTTTTTAATTATAATCTTTTTTTGTAAAATTTTAAGATTTTAAAGAATTTAGTTAGCTTCAATCTGACATTAGTTTCTTGAAATTATTTTATATAAAATCAATCAGTATTTATTAATTCCTTGTCTTTATAGAATTTTTATTGTGTATGTGCCAATTTAAAATTTTTGTAAGACATTTTATCTTTATTCTTTAGTAAGACTTTCAACCTTAAGTTGATAAAATACAAACTTTTCATCATTACCATTGGCACAACTCACCCTGGGTGGGCCTTAGCCTTCTCCAGAAGATTTCTCCTTGAAGTTCTCTTTGTAGCTTCAATTCAATAAGCTAATTGTTCTAAAACTCTGCGTTAAAGGAGCTGTCAAAGTTGTCCTCTAGCTTTACTACCAATTGGTTTATGTTTGTTATATGTTCGGCTAGTTGAATCTAAACAACTTGGCTCTGTAAATCTAATTTAACTTTATACAAAGTTTTTCTGATTGTCAGTATGTATTTACAAATGTTATGCTACAATATATCATGATTGTATAATCTTGCAATGTAATCAAATGTTTGACCATATCAATTTATTTTTTTTTAAATTTCAATATTGTATATTTTTCAAAATTATGAAAATTGTGAAGGGAATACTATGAAAAATAAGTAATTCTAGAATCTACAATATTACCTGGTGTTTAACTCAATTTTTTCACCCACAATTCAACAAAAATTTACTGGATACAAGAATAGTAAAATAGGCATTAATACCTTAATCTTATTTTCTTTGCGCATTATTTTCAATATATTTTAAGAATTTTTTTTTTTAAATATTTTCTTATTACCTATAACTTATTTGAAATAAATAAAATGTGTGTTTTTAACATTATATTAAATTTTTGCTCAGTAGAAGATAATTAGCTAATTTTTTTACAGAAAACATAAATGTATTGAAAATCTTATAGTTAAAGTAACTTAAAATTATTGAATGGTTAAGGTTATTGTTTGGTTGTTATTGTAAATAATTGTGCTATAAAAAATTATTACTCTTTACTTTTTACCTATTTTTCTAATATTGAAACAGAAATGATTATTTGCATGCAAATATGTCTCTTAATTATTTATTTATTTAAAAAAAGAGAAAAAAAAGTCTTTCTTTGTTAGTTTTTAAAATTTTTATTATTCTCATAAAGAAGGAATATATCTGGAAAAGTGTTGTTTACTAAAAAAAAGTAGCTTAAAGCAGTTAAAGTGTTTGGTTTGTTAATAAACTCCCTATTTTGATGATATAGCACTTTCTCTTCTTTCTCCTGCTTACCATGTGATATTGTGTACTACTTATTATTCCAGTCTTTTTTTTTATCACCATATAACAATTATAAATCAAACCAATGGAGTATTTTCTCTGACTTCTGTAGTTTTTTAGAAAAGCGTTTAAGAAAA